AGTTAATAACATTACCATGAATCACCATGAACTTTACCTGGAAAATAAATTTACTATTATTGTGAAAAAAACTTGGAATCACCCTGTTCCAGATTGGGTGTAACTCTTAATCCCACAACTAATATATATCAAATCATATCATTTAGAGGCACTCACATTACAATTGAAATTTCATCATGAATCATCATGATAATGGTTCAGTTGAAATGGAAAGTTATTATTTTTGGAAATGAAAATAACTCATTAACCATTTTTTATTATTGTCTTTATAAAAATAGCAAGTACAATGTGATTGATTCAGTAGTTATTATTTTCACAATTAAAACTTTAATTGTAATCGCTTCAGGCAATCTGAATAACATGTTAAACTGAATCAAATTCATGGACATAAAAATTGGTATCAAATTTTTGAAACTTTATTATTATTACAAACACGATGAAAATGTTTATTTCATATTATGAATATTTGAAAAGTTTTTAAATTGATTGTTTTAAAGTTAATCAAATGATTAACTGGACTTACGATTTAGATTAAAATGTAAATATCATTTTCATAAAGTTCTGACCTCTGGTGAACTTGATTCTGTAAAGATTTGAGAACTTAGTTTATCTTTTTTTATCGATTTTCATGTTCATAAAAGTTACGAATATTTTTATTCCTCTTGAAGGTTTCATGTTACCTGAATTTTTCATCACCTTTTTATCATCATTTTCATGGAGTCAACTCGATTTACAGTTAGTTTTTTTTTGCTCATTCGAAAGTAAAAATTATTATCATGTATAAATCATATTCTCGTTATCAAATGTGTGAATCATCATTAATTATCTTGTTAATATTAACCATTCATTTCCTAATGATTGACATCAATTGAAACAATCAAAACTTTAGTACAACTATTAGATGACTACACAATTTATTGGACAATATTTCATAATATCGGATGACTGAATAGTCATTGATAAACAATCAGTAAATTGTGCCCTCGACAATTGTTTCACAACTAAGAAAATGTTTATTATCATTTGGTAAATTGAATAATATGAAAATGTGATAATAATAATAATGATACATTTTGATTGTTATGATTGGGATGATTGATAATCAATGTGATTTAAATTAGTTTTTGAAAGTTGGATCGACCTGAAAGGAAAAGGTGAAAGGTTTTAATTAGTGAAAATCAATTGAAGTTGTCACTGGGAATGAACTATTATCATGTTGTTATTAGATTGAAAGATTTGTTGAGATGAACATGATTAACTTTTGCAAATGGACATCGGTGATCTGATGTCCATCTTGTGTCCAGTTCTAACCATTTAACCACAACAATGGTTCTTACTGAATACTCATGTATTCCAATCAATTATCTTTATCTTTTCTTCACATTTTCTCTCTCTCTCTCTCTTCTTTAATCATCTAAGTCTCTTTTTCTTCTCATTTCTAATACATTGTCTTCTTCACATTCTCTTTTTTCCTTCTTTTATTCTTGGATATTTCCATCATCTAACAACTCATTCAGTATCATGGTGATGACTCATTCTATGATTATGATGACACTGAAAAGAGCGCATGAGTTATGTTCATGTTGAATAGTCGAAGGTTGAAATTGAATGAGAACAAAGAGATTGAAAAATAGAGAAGAAAATGAGATGAATCTTTTCCCTTTTACCGATGAAATTTGTTGAAAGAACAATTTAAAGAGAAAGAGAGAGAATCGAGATTTAGAATGAGATTAAGAACAAGAATTACTTTTGATTCTAATCTTAAAAGACTCAAACATTTATATCGAACAACATCTTCCTATTCCTAAATGTTCAGTTTACTTTGGATTTCCATGGACGGAAATGAAAGAGAGAGCAAGAGAGATGAGAGAGAGAGAGAGAGAGAGAGAGAGAGAGAGAGAGAGAGAGAGAAGTTCAAATGTTATGAAATTTATAAAAATGGATAAAAAGGTAAGTGGAAATTAGAGGAAAAGGAAAAAATTGCAAAACATCAGCAGAAAGAGAGAAAAAAATGAAAAGAGAATACAAAGAAAAGCTGTTACAGGAATTGGAGACCATGAGTATTCCGTGGGTTCATCATGATAACAATCAAATCCATAGCTCGGGAGTGAGTCTAGAAAAGAAAACAATAAGATAGATAAATAATGGGCATTGGAAGAGGAGATGATGATGATGATGATACTAGAGATGGAGAAGATGTTAAAATGAATAATATATTATATTTGAAGAGGGACTGCAAATAGATTGCGTTAAAATGAAGGCAAGAATATGATATAAGATGGGAAATAATGAGAGCACGGGTTGATATTATTACGTGTTCGCATCATCATTAGTTTATAGTTGACAAAATATAGAAATAGATGTTTATTATAATGTAAATGGAAATTGAAATGATTAATTGTTTTTCTTATGTTCGAGTTTGTTTTTTATCTTTACAATAACAGAAACAGAAAAGGAATAGTAAAAATCGAGGAAATGAAACTAATCTTCTTCTTCTTCAGAGAGGATTTGTTGTTTTTCAGTTTCGATACTCGACTAATCTCTCACCGAGTTACATCCAACTGTGAATTGATGGTTAAAGAAATTCAGTTATCTTCTTATATTCAATTTATTCTTTTTCCGATAAAAGTTCATTTCTCAGCTTTAGAATTGTTGATAATTTTGATCTTTCGAGTTATCAAAATATTGAAAATTAGCTTCAAGAAAATTAATCGATTCTCATGTTGGAAATTTTCGTTTTTTCGTTTGGCCGAAAATTCAAAACCAAATTGAAATACTCGAGTTTTCGATTAGCATGATAATATTTGTTTCTTATTTTATCTCGATTAACAGTCATGGAGAAGATTCTTGAGGGAAAATGGTGATAATGGATAAAACTTGAGCCATGGAATTGGTATCAAGATCATTTGGAGAAATTCAATTCACGTCCTATTCATATTTTGTTTTCTTTTTCAACAATTCGAAGGATTTTTTTCCGAAAAGTTCGAGAGAGAGAGAGAGAGAGAGAAAGGTAAATGAGAATCTATTTGATGGTTAGAAGGGAAAACTCCATTAACCTTGTCCACTGGGAATCGATTCTTAAAATGAAATCTCAAGTTGAATTTCATGGATGCTGATGATGGTGATGAAGATAATGATGACAATGATGATGGTCAATGATAACAAATATGATACAACAACACGTACAGATTATCAACATCATCATCTATTTGGATTAACATTTTTGATTATCACTCAACAGAATTGGTTTCTAGTTACATCAGCATCTATTGTATTAATATTATATTCAACAATTGAGTCTCATTATTTCATTACCTTATCAACAATCAGCTAAATTGTGAATACATTTATTGTTATTACATTTATGTAAGTTGTCAATTGTTATGATGATGCAATAAAAATATGATTATGTTACATAATGTTGATAATAGAGGGCAATGAATATGTCGATATTGTCACTTGAAGGTTCAGTAAATGTGACATTATATTGATGATAAATCAGCTAATTGTGAGTTTCTAACTTTTCTTACTCACTTAATCAACTACAATTATAATCTTCATGAAATGAAACTTACCTGAACCTGAGTCTCAAGCATTTAAAACTAATAATTAGTTACTAATTGCTGTCATTGACTTGATTGTTTACTGAGCTTACAATTTGTTACGAAACTAAAGTTAAACTTTCAAAAAGTTACCATAATGATTATAATACACTTAGGAAATGAATCAGTTAATTGTTTATCAACAATTTATCCTTCATTTAGATCTAATTGTCTAATTTGCCTGCAATTACAATTCTTACATTCAGATTATCAGAAAGATCAAAGAAACAAAGTTAATAAACTTGAAAGAGCAAATTAATTAAACCTTGATACATAAATCTAACTGTAACTTTCTAACTTTAATCAACTAATTACCTTTAATCCATTGGGTTGATTAATCAATATACGTATTTACATTTGTTAAATGTTAATGTTGAAATAATTACTAACCAAACTGAATTGATTAATTCAGTTTCTTGATCAGCTGATAACAGTCAAACAAATTGTAATAATTTGATCATCTTAATTACTCACAATAAGAACAATTAACGATTGCTGTTATTAATGAAGTAATTAGTAGTAATCCAGTAAAAGTTAATCTTAAATATTATTGATAAAATTAAACAAGTAAACAATTAAAATTTTTCCATTACCCTTTTGTATTAATTGAATTAGTTGATTAACCTTTAAAACATGACAAAATTACCTTTGATTTTTGCAAACTTGTAAAGTTAATTATATTTAATCCAATTAATTGAAAGATGAATGAAGTAAATGATTAACAATTTCATCAATTGATTAATGTAATGATTGTTAAGAAACGGTGTCAATTAGGCCGATATAATGTTTGTTACTTGATTTAATTCGTTGTTGATAATCCAGTTGACTGTGACCTTCAATCTTAATTTTTTCTTCAACAATCAATTGTCATCTTCATCTCTCTCTCTCTCTCTCTCTCTCTCTCTCTCTCTCTCTCTCATCATCACCATCATCATCCTCATCTACAACAACATCAACCATGTAAGTATACAAACTATCAACTCATGAAATCATTGCAATTACGCCATAACATTAAATTGGGATCGACATTCAACCAAAATCATAATCACAATTTACAATCACAATCTGATTGATAACAGTTACTACTACAATTTATCAATCTCTCCCCTTTTACAACCTCCCTCATCATCAGATTTTTTTGTTCAAATCAGAATCACAAATAATAATAATGATAATTGCAACGAGTTCAACCTTGTCAATACATTTACCATCTTCATCTTCATCCTCATCTTCATCATCACCATCTCTCTCTCTCTCTCTGTCATTGATGATCCTTTTCACCCCCTAGATAAAAAGACCAAGTGATAATTGTTATCACAATTAAGCCCAACCCAATGAATTAAATCTCAACGGCCTTGCTGTGAATCCCGCTAACCATTGACAAATAGAAGGAGACAAAATTTAATCCATATCCATATCCATAGATATGATGATGATGCTGATGATGATGTTTGTAGCCTGAGTCTAAATTAGTTTTATCATCATCATTTGAATCATTATTATTAAATCTCAGTGATTATAATATTATTAAAACAAATATCGTTAGATTAACTATTGAACATGTTACCAAGTATTTCATTTCGAGCTCGTAGTTACTCATTAACAATTAGTGAAAATTTACTGACCAATGGATCAGGAGTAGGTGGTGATCATCGTCGTCGTTCAATAAGTAATCAAGTTTCATATGTTAATCAGAATAATTCAACTAATCATCCATGTTCATCATCTATTGTTCAAAGCATAAATTCATCGACAAAGTCAATTGTTTCATCAAAATCAATTAAATCATCGACAACAACATTACCACAATCATCTTCACATCCATCGACAATAATTAAATCATCAGTGGCTCGTAAAGAAAACACCGAAAAACATATCAAGTTGAACCTAAATTGTACCTATGATAAAACGGATTGCCCATCATCATTATCATCACCAACCACACCACCACCGTTGATTCAACAACAACAAGTTTCTTTTGCCAAAAGTTACTACGATAATTCAATTATGTTACAATCAAAGTGTAATGGGTCAGTGATGAGTCAATTGGATCCAAATGAATTACTTCAAATTAATCAACAATCAGCTGATTTACAAACGGAAACACAATCAGTTACATTTGCAAATAATATAATCAATGATTCAAATAATAATAATAACAGCCGATTACCTTATATTTGTGAAGATAAATTAACTTCAAATAGTAATAATAATATTATCAATCGATCCACAAGTGACCTGGTCAAGATACGAACAAATGAAAGTCTTATGATTGATCTTGATTCTAATAATAATAAAGATAATAATTCAACGGCTTCTCCTTTTCAACTTTGTCCACCCGCTGGTGGTGGACTTGTACCTTTAGATGTTGATAGGAAAAGTCGATCATTTTCGGGATTTTCAGGTATAAGTCACTATTCTGGTCGACGGAAATCAACGCTTCTCCGAGATGAATCACCTTATAAAGCTTTACGAGAATTAATTATTCCCTGTTTAATTGCTGGATTTGGTAATGTTGCCACCGGTGTTATATTTGCTCACGTTCAATCTTGGCCTGTCTTTGAGAATGTACCTCAGCTCAATATTCTGGTTCCCGCTTTACTTGGACTTAAGGGTAACGTTGAGATGACCTTAGCTTCAAGATTATCTACTCACGCTAATCTGGGTGATCTTGATGATAAAATTGCAAGGAAAAAGTTGATCACTGGAAACATGGCTCTGGTACAAACTCAAGCTTCAACGGTGGGGTTTGTTGCTCCACTTTTGGCTTTAGCCGTTTCATATATTTGGCCTTCAGATGGTTCTGATTTAACTCTTCACGAGGCCATTTTATTGATCGCTGGTTCCGTTTTAACGGCAAACATTGCTAATCTTTTCCTTGGGTCACTTATGTGTGGTGTTATTGTTGCTTCTCGTCGTCTTAAAATCAATCCCGATAACATTGCGACACCAATAGCCGCTTCTTTCGGTGATCTGACCACAATGGCTCTCCTGGCATATATTAGTCACCTTTTATTCATGATTATTCATATTCCCTGGATTCAAATGGTCATTCTTGGTGTTATCATGGCTTTTATCCCATTCTTTGTGATGTTTGCCAAGAAACTTGCAGTCACCCGGAAATTATTGATCACTGGTTGGTTTCCAATTTGTGGGGCTATGATTTTACAAATAACCGGAGGCAAAATTATGGAAAATTCACTTGATCAATTCACTCGATTAGCCGCTTTTCAACCGGTAATTAATGGTAAGTTTCAACTAAAGAAAAACAAAATTAACTTCTTAATCCCAAGGTAATCAGATTATCCAATTGATCCATCAACAAGGTTACTAATCTTTTCATTTTTTATCATCCATTTTAAATCTTAATCTTAACGAATAGATTTCAAGTTATTGATTGGCCATTTTGTACTTTTTTGATTAGCTATATTTTTCACTGATAATTAAGTTTACTTGATTGTTAATCTTGATTTTGATTTGATTTTATTGATTATTGACATTGAATTTTACACGAAAACATTTAGTTCAATTTTCATGATAAACACGTTATTTAAAAGTCTTATAATCAACCAGAATTATTAATAACAATCAATAGACTAACATGATCATAAATCATTGATTAATTGTTGATTGTTTGACAAAAGTAAACAAACTCAATCAAATCCAAATGAATGTCATTTAAGTTAATTAAATTGTCATTAATATTGTGACTATGAGACAATCCAAAAGTTACTAATTTAATTACTTTTAATCATCACCTGTAAATAACTAATCACTTTTGATATTGGATTAATAATCTGATAATCATGATATTAATGCCCTTAGGCTAGTGAATGATAGGACTTAATTTGACTGAAAGTTAATTAACTTATCCTGGATAAGCAAATTAAAGTTTGTTGATTAATCCAAAATAGCAAATGAAAATTGAAGATGAGGAAAATCACAATAATAATAATAAAGATTGACATTAATTTTGTTGATTTTTAGTTGATCACTTGTTGGGTTAACCAGTTAATTAACAGTTAATTGTTGATTTCTCTGTCCTAGTTTGATATTATCATTTTAATTGATTTACTCTCGTGATAATCATCACTAAATTCAACGAATTACATAAGACGATGGTGATGGAAAAGGATGAAACCTGAGTTGTCATGATGTTCATTATAATCATCAATAGTCTAGTAAATTTCAAGAATTGATGAACATGATTAACAGAGTATTTAATAAATCCCATTCAAGAGCATTGGATTCAATTGAGGTTATCCTTTTTTATTTCAATGTTCACACCAATCAATGTTAATTGTCCAATTTAAATTGACTAACAATAGAAAAAGAGAGTTAAAAAGTAAGAGAAAAGTTTATAATTCCGATTGCACTTGATTCGATCAGACATTAGGTATTGGAACATTATCATCGACAATTAACTCGTACGGGAATATGGGCCAATAGATTGACCTCAATTCACAGACAATTGACAAATCTCACCATCGTAACAATTAGAAATAACAATCAACCATCATCAGTAGTAAAATCTATTAATAGATTATCTTAAATATAAGAATTGAAAGATTATCAATGAGAATGAATTTTTCTCATAGAAACTTTTATAACCTTCTATTAATTATCATTTGATTAGTTGATTAGTTGTGTCCAGTAGATTTAACATATTTTCAAGGTTCTCGTGATGATTAATGATATGAAACCAAACTGATATCAGTTGATTTCCTGTTCCGTTTCAATGTGAACATAATTTTATCATCGTTTTCCTGTCTAATTGTTAGAAATGTTATTAAGCTTAATTCAGTGAATATCAATCTTATTAACAGATATAACTTTTTGTTTTCAATTTCCAATAAATAACATTCTGATAACTTGTAGGATTAACGTTGAAAATACAATTTACATTATTAATGAATTTAGATTATGTTAATTGACATGATGATGATTGAATATTATTCCTGAGGAGAGGAAAAAAACATCATGTTCATTATCATGTTTACTCATCTTACATTTAGGATTAATCCCTATTCTTAAGATTTCATCCTCTAATCCAGATAATAACATCATTTTCTTGGTGAAAAAAAAGCTTCAAGATCTTATGTTGTGAGTAATAGACAGAAACTAATACTTTTAGAGTTGATTGTCAACAATCAGTATCATCAACTGTTGATTAATTCTTTCAATTATAATTCTAATCCTTGATTTACAATTAAGATCAACTAGAGAAAGGGAAGAAAAATTTCTTGATAAAAGTTCTGTACTCAAAATACCCTGAGGCAAGTTGAGTCCATGATTCCACCTACAATCTTACTGTCTACGTTTTTTTTACGCAGTAACTTTCATTCAATCAATTTAACTCATTCTCTCTCCTTCATCCTTTATAATCATGTTCATGTTCATTGAAATTATCTCATTTCCATTCTGATACTTGAGGCAATCAGCTGGTCAAAGTTCATGACGATCATGATTATTTCAAGATGACTTCAAGTCTTCAGGGTAAAAATAAATTGAAAGTTGACAAAAAAGATGAAAAATGAGCAAATCAACAAAGATTTAAAAATGAGATCAAATTAACTCAATTAACAAATTGATAGCTTCAAAGATCACATGCTAATCAACTATAATTAGATTAATTAGCTAAAAATATTGACAATTAATATCAATATATATTTAAACCCATCACAATGAGTTTATTATCCTAATAATAATGACAAGAAACAAAATAGAAACAAATTACGTTTCAATTGTTACTTATTGATGAAAATATTGATCTTTAATGATTAGATTAAATCATGATCATCATCACTATTAATATAGTGAATTAATATAATATAATTACATAAGAGAATATAAAGGAAAAAAAGTCGATTACAATTGATTAAGGTTAATCCATTGATGAATTCGTAATGATAATCCCCAGAGTAGATGAAAGTGAAAACAGAAAAAGATCAACAAATCCAATGGAAGAAAAAAATGATTAATTCTCGCTGTTAATTGTTGCTCTAAATTGTGATTAGGTGTTGGTGGTAATCTCGCCGCTGTTCAAACAAGTCGTATATCAACATATCTTCACCGTCGGACAGTTAAGAAGCAACTTCCTGATCCGGATAATGAATTATGCACTTACCCTGGAAGAGTTTTTTTCAATTTAGACAGTAAGTTTATTAGCAATTTGATTTAAATACTTTTCCTTAAATAAAACCAATAGAAAAAACTTTTTCTTCCTTTCGAGAATGATAAAAATGTTCAATGTTCGATTATAATAATAATAATTAAACTTTGTTGTTGTTCTTGTTGTTTATCAGGTGATCACGCAATTATGGCTCGATTCTTGTTATTACTATCAATACCTAGTCATTTGTTATTTATTTTTGTAATCAAATTGGTTCGAGATCATTTTACAATGACAGGTACTTTTTTAACTATTTATATGATTGCTGCTGTCATTCAAGTTGCCATATTGATTCAAGTATCCTACACCTTGGTACATTTTATTTGGAGGAAAGGATTTAATCCAGATAATTCAGCATTACCCTTTTTAACTGCTTTCGGTGATTTAATTGGCTCAGTCCTTTTGGCTTTAGCATTTACTTTACTTTCAGGATTAGGTGATGTTAATGCCCTTCAACCAATACCAAGTTTAACTGGACAATTTAAACCAATTGCACCTAAATCATTGGTAACCCGATATCCAACGACTTCATCAACACCAAGCACTACAAAAATTTTATCAACATTCATTGAGACAATTACAACTGAATCAATGAGACCATTTAAATAAAATTTTTGGCTATATGAGAATAGTGAAAGAGAGGGACGAAAGAGAGAAAGAAAGAGAGGGAGAGAGAGAGAGAGAGAAAAGGGAGAGAGAGATACACAATGGATATTATCTTGATGATCGTTGATGATAATTACACAATTTGACGAGTTGTTGATGATGATGACGACGATGATGATGATGATGTAAAGATGGATGACAAAATATTATATAACGATAATGATGATATACATTCACAATATTTTTATGCTAATAATTAATTGATTAATTATTATTACATATATATAACACTTTCCTCTGCAATTAATTTTTTCGTTTCTTCTTTTGATTTAATTTCTCTTCTAAATTGTGTTAAGATCAAAATATCAGAGTCTTGCGTCTCGATTTGATTTAAACATCGCAATTAACTTTTTTTTTGTGTTTTCCTCTCCTCGCCTCCTCGCCTTCTCCTCTTCATCATCATCAAAACTTTAATTAAAAAAATCAAATTGTTTTTCTTTTTGCATAAAAATCTTGCAATTTCATTTTCTTTCTGGATCATTGTGTGTGTGTGTTTGTGTGTCTGTGAGTGTTTGGAACTGTGTATGTGTGTGTGAATGGGTGAATGCAATCAATGAATCAAATTCATTGAGTATTCGGGATAATTAGGCTGTTCTTGCAGTCGATTGTACGTTCATCAATGTAAACAATGGTAAATTGGCTTAAGAACTGTAGCATCTCATCGGCGTCCTCGAAAGCTAGTTCATTCTTTATATATTGTAAGCTAACTGATGGTCGAAATCTAGATCATATATATCAAAGTAATAATATTATTAATTTGTTTCACAAGAAGACAAGATGATTAGTAATTAAAAAAAGAAGATATAAGATCTGTTTTGATTGAAATATTGATTAGTAATTGTGTAATTGGAGTAAGACAAAGTTAACAAGATTCAATCCAATACAATTGAATGTGTAAATTGTACTTCATCAGATCAGGAAAATCATTTTATTAAAATGGTTGCGATCCCATGAAGGTAAAAGGAGATAATTGTTATTTGTTGTTCAAAGTGAACATAGTAATTAACTAATTGCAATCAATCAATTTAAAATGAAAACTTGTAGAAACAATAAGAAACCCTTATAAGAATATAAAATCGAGAAGGGATCAAGAGGGATTAACAATATCAGTAGATACAAAGTGTTATCTCATTGATTCCTAAATTCAATAATAATAATAACATGTAAATCTATTGATTGAGATGCATGATAAACAATGGGAACAATTTGTTATGAGGAGACATACCGGATTAAGGAAGAGAAAAGATTAATTCAATCAACATCATCTCTTCAATCAATCAGGTATATTAATATTAATAATAATGATGAATAATGAACAGTTATCGGGACTTCATTATTATTATTAACATAGAATTTGGAAAATTGGTGAAAAAAAATAAGAAATGAACGGTAATAATTAATCATTAAGGCCTATTAATTAAGACTCCCTATTGAGATGCCTTTACAATCAATTGATTATTAATTGTTGGCAATTGTATTGAGAAATCAGTGAGCGGTTCAAGGATCAATTTGTTGATTAATTAGTAAGATAATGATGTTAGAATATATAAGATTTAATTTTCTTTTACTTTCGTAACAATCATGCTTTTAGAAGTAGACAAGGAATTAGAATTGAACAATTGAATTGAAAATAAAAGTCAATTAATTGGAAAAATGCCCATCAACTTTTACTTTAATTTAATTGTTGCTATTTAATTAAAGAAGAAGAAAAAAACAACAACAACGACAACATTTTAATTGTAAATAGATTTGACAGTGTTAACGCCCGAAAACATGATCATTTCAATTAAAATCAACATCTTAATTGGTGGATCAGTGAAACAATTGAACTTATATTATGATTATAATCAACACAATAATATCAATAGTGACAAATAGCAATAGTAGTTAATATAAAGTAAAAAAATTTGATGAAAAAAATTCAAATCATCATCAACAGTTATCGTGATGATATTGCCAAAAATTCAAGGTTTGTGATTAAATCCTTAATTATTTGTTGTTGTTTTTTAAACTGAGTTGTCAATTTGATTTGGTTGCGATTCTCATTATCAAAGTTGTTGATTTAAAGTTATATAATGGTGAGTTCATTTGATGAGTTAAATTAACTAATTAATCAACTAATTTTTAATTTGTATGTGTTATACTTTTTGTGTATGTCTAATGTAAAAAAAGGTTAATGGATTTTCAATGGCAAAGTTGACCAGTTACTCGTTAATCTGCTTTGTGGTAATTAACTTTCTCTCTGGATTAACTAATTCAGCATCAACACAATCATCATCATCATCATCATCGTCTACAGCAACATCACCATTATCAGAATTATCCTCAACATCATCGACAACATCAACAGTGAAAATTGAAACTGAACTTGTGAGTAGTGAATCAAAAAATAATGAAGATAAAAATGATTTACTCAAAGATCTTAAGGACTTGGGACCTGATGATTTAGCGAAACTAATTAGAGCTAAAAAGGAGAAAGAATTAGATGAATTTAAATCAAAGATAACTAATATAAGAGGTAATCGTGAAGTATTAGATTCTTATCGACAAGATCGACAACAACAGCAACAGCAACAGCAGAAAGGAGCACCAATAGTTCAACAACAAGAGGATGATTATCAAAATTCAGGTGATTCAGTAGCAAATGAAGATAATTTTGATGATGAAAATGATTCACCAGGATTACCGGCCAATGAGAAAGGAGTTAAAAAACCCAAGTATGGAAATTTAGGTTCTCTACTTCCGTTTTTACCTAATCCAGGATCTGTAATGACAATGATGGTTAAACCAATTGATCGTCCAGAGCAAATGGTTTGTGATTGTTACAATCCAGGTAAAACTTCAAGTCAACAACCACAACAACAGCAGCAACAATTACAAATAACACAACAACAACAACAACAGATATGGCCACCAATGGTATCGAATCGTAAAGTGCCAATGATACCTCCAATGGCACCGATGGCACCAATTCAACCAATGCAACCGCCGATTAGTTTATTCCCACCGAGTCCATTTTCATTTATTGGACAACATTTTGCAAACAAACCAATGTCTTCTCATAAAAAGAAACAATTAAATCCATTGAGTTTACTTTTAATGGGTTTAACTGGAGGTAAACGAAAGCGAACTCGACCTCGACCTCGACCTGTTTACCCCAGTTATCCACCCTTTCAGCAGCAACAACAACAATCCTCCTTAGCATCAATTTTACCTGGATTTGAACCCAATGAACCTGAGTTAATGTATCCAGTGCAACAAGTATACAACATAAAAGGTAATGGCGGAAGTGGAAAAGGCGGAGGTGGTGGACGAAAGGGACGAAAACGACCTAGAAAACCTTACAATAATCTACCACCACCACCGTCATCAATTAAAGGAAGATCGAAAGGTAAAGGCTCGGAAAAAGGTAAATGGCATTGGACAATGACGGATGATTACAAAGATCTAACACAAGGATTTAATGAACAATATTAATTGAACTATTTACTATCATGGGATCGCAACTTTTCCTGAAAATCACCAATAAAAAAATACTTACACACAGAGAGAGATTAAGTTAGACTGATTTGTGAACTTTTTGAATGAGCTCATTTTTTTTAGAATGATTAATGACTAACCAAAATTGACTAAAATTCTGATTGTGTGTTATGATGTGTAACTTTGGTACTCACGCTTTAACGATGATATTTAAGGCATGTTTTCTTTCGCGTTCAACAAACCAACCCATCAATTTACCAGACATAGCAGGAGCAACTCGATATAATTTGAAAAAATTGTGATAGTCTCTGAGAGACCAAGCCTGTCGGACACTTATTGCGTGCTGAACTATTTTACTAGACCTACTATAAGAATCTAACCTTCTCATAGCTATCTGCAGACCTGTGGAAAGAGATTGAGAGATAGAGAGAGAGGAGAAAAAAATAAACATTAATTGTTAGAAATAGAAAATAATTATCAAAATTATCTACTGTTTCTTACCTGATACATTCCCTGAGTAGATGTAGTAAAGAATCAGGTAAGCAGTAAATTCTGCTCTATTAACACTATTCAACTCATCGTATAAAATTTGCAATTGACTCTGACATTGATTGAATTCTTCTGGATCACCCTGAGAAATGAGAGATGGAATTTAAAATTAGTATTATAGAAAACAAAAATAACAGAAAAGGAATAGAAAAACATAAAGTAAACTGATTGATGTTTAAACTATAATTTAGAATTAGAATTGATAAATAAACCATATGATTCGACATTTGTTGACAGTTGCCTTTTGTATTGATGGTCAATGGTGAATTAATTAAATTTCTATTTGCATGTATACATCAATCAGGCTCGAATGTTTTTCCAGCCCTTGAACTTTGAGATTTACCTTTTCCAACGCGATTTTGGCATGAGTTTCGTAGACATGGACTGTAAAGTGATTACGGATAACTTGGACAGTTAAATCTTGACGAATAGATTTTAGCTGATCACAAGTATAATGATAATCTTTCTTCTCAATCCAGTGACGTACAACCATATCCAAAGATTTCTCAAGTATGTGCTGAGGGCGAACAGTTGATGGATCAGCGGTAGATGTTAATCTTAAGTATTGTTTCTCCAAATCCTGGCAAGTACCAATAATCGGTGTTGCTAATTCCAAATCAATAGGTTGCTCTATTTCCCAAAGATTATTTCTTTGTCCAGTGGAATAATAATTTCTCTGTTGACCAGCACCACCACCACCTCGGGATAAATTATTACAATTATTATTATTAAACCTTGACTTTCGTCTAGCAATTAATTCAGGATCAGTTTGCGGCATATGTGTGGTAATTGATGAGTTTGGTTTATGTTGATTATTAGAATTAGAATTACCATTAGAATAATTATTTTTCTTATTCTTATTTTTAAATTCTCTCTTATTCTTTTTTCTTACAACAAATGAGAGAACTGATTTAATGGAAGGACGTTCAACTTCATCATCAGATATATCCATTGGTATACACTCATAATCATCCATTGTGATTATTTATATAACTCTAAGGACAAACGAAACAAATCAAATAGGAAATGCGATAAACAACAAAAAAAAAACAGAAAAACAAAATGATCCAAAAATCGATTATAATATTTTATATAAATGGACACACAAATACACGCACACACACAAGCACCAATTAGATGAGATTAAATTAATTGTAGAATAAAGAAGAAAAAGAGCAAATTAATTGAACAATTGATCAAATTAATTAGCAAAATAAACGAGACAAATTAAAAAAGAAACAAAATTTGATTCCTTTTGTTTATTAAATTTTTCTTCTAAATAGTTAAACTAACCCACCGATCGATGGCGTTACCGGTCAGTTTCCCCGGCGAATTTGAAATTGATTCGATTGGATGTTTTTCTTTGATTCGATGATCGATAGTCATGAACGATGAACATCGATTGTTTATAATCTTCAATCTCTACCAAGAGTTGATCACTTTGGATGTTAAAATTGGTTGAGTTGTAATTGTTTCGTTTGACTGGTTTTTCTGTTTAATTTGATTTTGTTTTATTCTTTACTTGGTTATTTGTTGATTGTTTTCTTCTGTGAAATTGTTTTACTCTTATCAAAATGGCTCCACGAATTCCTGACTCATCAACTGATGAACAAATCCAACCAATTGAAACTGGATTAAAGGACAAGGATAATGTTTACGTTGATCACAAATTACAAATTGCTTGGCGTAATGTTGTCCTTTTTTCACTTCTCCATATTATGTCAATTTATTCAATCAAATTAATTCTCACATCCGCTGCATGGCAAACAATCCTTTTCGCGTTCTTTCTCTACATTTGCAGTGGACTTGGAATCACCGCTGGAGCTCATCGACTTTGGTCTCATCGATCTTATAAAGCCAAGTGGCCATTAAGAGTAATTCTTTGCATCTTTAATTCCATCGCTTTCCAAGTAAGTAATTAACCCTTTTCCCTTATCCTGAGGGCATGTTAATCACCCAGAACAAGTAGTTATTCAAAGCGTATCTCTAACCAGCAAGGAAATTGAAATGAAATGTATTAATTAATGCAAGGGTAAAAACTAGTATTCTAACTAATTATTATGACTCTTGGAATGATGATGATGATGATGATAACTCGCAATTAATTGTTTATATTTTTCCATCACCATTTCATGTGATATAATCATGTAACTGTAGTGATTAGTTCATCTTATTCACCAACAATTGTCAATTCTTTTCTTTTTCCTCATTTTAATCATTTTTCTTCAGAATCTTAACAACAATTCCAATTTTAACACTTACTTCAAACGGGAAAATATAAAAATTTTAACAATTGATCAATAATAATAACTTAAGTCAATTGGCTAATTTGATTTTGTTTACAACTTTTTTTTCAAGGTCAATTGATTTTCTATGGCTTCATGTTCAATGAAATTTATTTCTTTTCACTAATTATAGAATATTTATTCTTTTTTCGTTCTTTTTTTTCCCTTCCACCACTTAAACAGAATCATATCTATGAATGGGCACGAGACCATCGAGTCCATCATCATTACTCCGAAACGGATGCTGATCCTCACAATGCAACTCGTGGATTTTTTTTCGCTCACATGGGTTGGCTTCTTTGTAAAAAACACCCTGAGGTTAAAAGGAAAGGAGCTAATATCGACTTAAGTGATCTTCTTGCTGATCCTATTATCCGATTCCAGAGAAGGTAAGTAATTAAGTGCCTTTAGCAACTTAATGGCTCAAAAATTGATTAGAATAGTAATTTAGATCTGATCACTTTCTAAATTGATCGATTTGATTATAATTCTACAAAGAAATCACTTTTTTTTCCTCGTGTGCTTACCTCATGTACTATTCATTCAATCTGATTGTTGTTGTTGTTGTTAATTATCATTACTTTTTTGATGACGAGTATGACATAGAGATACTTCTCACCAGCAATTAATCTGATCATCAATTAATCTTTTACATCTATCATTCCATGAACACGAATTGGAATATCTTTTGTTATGTCATCAAGTTTATCTTGAATCGATATTAGATTCCTCTCGAATTATATTAAAAGATTGAATGATTAGTTTATTCATGTGTCTAGTTTATATTTGAGATCTAATTGCAATCTAATTTTCTTTTTTCCTTTCAATTTTTTTTTTCTTAGAAATTACCTCAAACTGGTCTTCCTCTTTTGCTTCTTCCTACCAACAGTAATTCCAGCATTTCTATGGGGAGAATCATTTTGGAATGCATACTTTATCTGTTCCGTATTCCGATATTGTTTCACTCTTCATGTTACCTGGTTAATCAATAGCGCTGCTCATATGTGGGGACAACATCCATACGATAAACACATTAGTCCAGCTGAAAATTTGGTAGTTTCAATTAGTGCAATTGGTGAAGGCTTCCACAATTATCACCATACTTTCCCTTATGATTATTCTGCTAGTGAACTTGGAATGAGATTCAATTTGACAACCATGTTGATCAATTTCATGGCCAAAATTGGTTGGGCATATGATCTGAAAAGAGTCTCACCCAATGTACTTAAACAGCGTATTGAACGTACTGGTGATGGAACTCATTTCAGTTTGGTTAATAATAAATCTTTGTAAACAAACAATCAAAAAAAAACAAAAAAAAATCTTCAAATTTGCAAAAGTTTAACCCAAGTTAAAATTCAACTGAGTAAACGAAAAATAAACATTATGTTCCATTTGTACTCTTAGTTTTTTTTACACATTTATCTTTATTTCAATACAATTAAATTAAGACGTAAAAAAATAACTTCTAAACAGGTTCGATTCCCGGAGCATCGGGCATTCGTTCAATGAAATATTTACGATTCTTCAAGTACATAATTGGAACTCCAGTTAATTTTCTCAGTCTCTTCTGTAAAGCTCTGTCACAAGTGCCAATAATGTAACACTTGTGAGCACTGACTCGATTAAAGATACAATCATCGGCATAGGTTCCTTTATGAGCACAAGGTAATACCTCAAAATTAGATTTAATTATCTTCAATGCGACCCGATATTTGGCTCCAAGTTTTTGAAGTTCAGCAATTATACATTCGGTGACAAAGGGAATACATTTGGCCAACAGACAGTCCATCATTGCAGGGATCATATCGAGCTTGTTTTTAATTGAGAAATTGATGAAATTGGTATCACAAATTATCCTAAATGGTGGACCAAGTTGTTGATTGTAACTAAAGAACATACTTGTTGATGGAATTGCAACCGTTCGTTTTTTTTCAACCTTCTTTTTCTTTGGTTTTAATTTCTCCTTAATTTCTTTCATTCGCGGATCACGTCGAGTTAAAGTTTTGGGTACTCGTGGTTTCGGCATAATTAATTTACCCAATTCAACACAATTAAATTAAATTAACTCGTTTAAATATTCAACAAATTAATTGTTACTTTTTTTTTGTCAAACAATAACATGTGATCATTTAAAATGATTCATTCCAAGTTTAGTGACATCTAGCGGATGAGAAATGAACTAAAACTTGTTAACCATTTTCAAAAGATCTCAATGATTTTTTTTTTCAAACTGAGTTCGGTTTATTTGTGAATAGTAAAGTGTATTAATTGATTATTTTATCATGGAAAATGATCAACTAGTTGCTGCTGTTAATGCTGATTTTTCAGCTTGACGTCTCTTCACATCCCAATTGTAAATTCGAGCCATGTTAACTTCTGTTGTGGTTATTTGATCTCGTAAGAAATTCAAATCTTGATCCACTTGAGATAAATTTTTCAAAGCCATTTTTAAATTTTTAATAAGTAAAGATTCAGCTTCATCCAGTGGATATTCAAGCATCACATTAGCCTGGAAGAAAAGAATTGATAATCATTAGCTATTAATTGATGATCAACTTTTGATCAACTTACCCCAAGCCAAAGACAAATTTTATCAGTCGGTGGTACAATTGCCTCCATGAAGACATGATCAGACAAAAGGAAATTTGTTTTCATCTCTGCATCATTTTCCTAAACAAAAAGAAGATACCAAATTAAAATAAAGAGATGAACATCAAAATCATCGTCATGATAAAAGAATAGAAATTTGAAAATAACCTTTCGCTTCTTCATTAAACTAATGATGTTGAGCGTTTCTTTTATATCTGGTATTTGTTTTTATATTTTCTTCTTTTGAACCAAATTCATTTCCATGAATCGGTACTTGTGATGATCTTCATCAGCTTTACGAATCAATGCAGCAGCATCTTTATCCTGTAATTCCATGAATTTACCAACATCTTCCTAAGAAAAACAAAGACAAAGAGAATAGAATTCACCCCAAACATGATAAAAAGATAGAAATCAACACGAGACACTCACCACAAATTCCGCTTTTGGTATTCCAAGACTATTCTCAACCACTTGGCTCGAATCATCACCTTTCGAATCCATTTTAACTTAAATTGTGAAAATAAAAAGAATACAATTAATAAATGACAAGGAGTAAAAAAATTATTCCAAATGAAAACAAAGCGAATGAGAAAAAAACAGAGAAGAACAAAAAATCCAATTCATTTTTCTCTCTCAATGTCTTCAGATTATTCGCACTAATGAGATGGTCCCTTTTTCTTTTCTTCGGTCAATCAAAGTTAAATTGTAAATAAAGTGAATTTTATTTGATTGGTTTGTTAATTGTTACGATGTCGTTAATTTATCGATCATTGATCACATCGGTTGGTAAATTTGTACCTAAAGGCTTGAAACCTCTATGGGAACATCCTGCTGGTCCTACAACTGTTTTCTTTTGGGCTCCAGCATTTAAATGGGTAATGTTTGTTTACTTCTGTAAGAGATTTTATTTTTTGGTTAATTGTCTTTTAATTTTTTAAAAAGGGTCTTGTGATTGCTGGATTAGCTGATTTGAATCGACCTGTTGATAGAATTAGTCTCGCACAATCTTCATCATTAACTGCAACTGGTGTAATTTGGTCACGATACTCGCTAGTCATCACCCCGAAGAATTGGAGTCTATTCAGTGTAAATGTATTTGTGGCATTGACATCAGGATATCAAGTGTTCAGAGTAGCTAATCATAAGTTATCATCGAAAAATGTTTGATTTTATTTTTATTGTTGATCTTTGGGTTGGTATATATTAGAATTATTGTGATTAATAGAATTGCTAAAATGTTTTATTAATTAATTATGAAAATATGATTAATTAAAATGCATCAAATTGTTTGATCTTTTTGATTTCGAGCAAATCGGATAAACACTTAATCTAATGTTAAATGATCGCTGACTATTCCGAGACTCTTTGACTTTTCGAGTTCAGAGAAAATGGATGAGATTCTAATCTTTGATCCAATTTGATATTCCATTTGATTGAGATGAACTTCCTTCAATGAAGCTTCACATTCCTCCCTGTAATCAATCAATATAAATCACCATTAGTTTTAAAGGAAAAAGAATCATTAACAACCAACAATTAATAACTTACATGGAATGAGAAGTTAACACGACGGCACATTTATCTTTTACAATGTCGATTATACAATTCCAAAGGAAACGTCGGGCCTTCGGATCCATTCCGGTTGTTGGTTCATCGAGGAAAACAACTGATAGTTGACCAACCAGAGCAATTGTAGTGGACAATTTCCTCTTATTCCCTCCCGAATATGATCCAGCAACAACATTACTGTATTCGTAGAGTCCAAGTTTCTTGATGGACCAACGAACTACTTTTTTAATCTTTTCTTCTGGGATTCCTCTTAATCTAGAATAAAGTTCAAGATGTTCCCAACCAGTTAGAAAAGGATCAAGAGCGTCGAATTGTGGACAATAACCAAAATGACGAACTTTGGATGCCCACCACCACTCACGAATCGTAGATTCTTTGATTGACAAAATCAATCATTACTTAAGCAGAAAGTAAAACCCACTGGACCAAAGGAAATTAAGAATAAAAGATCGAATTTAAATTGGAGATACAATTCTAATCGGCCATTTCGAACCTCAATTGGTTATCAATACAGTTCATTGGATTATGGGTTTCGTTTGGGTTTGGGTTCGGGTGATCAATTCCATATTAATTTTCTAGATTTTTGTGTAAATCTCTTTTAAATTAACATTTATGATTGCATTTAAATATTTCCATTCTCTAAATCATCTAGCCAAACTTTAACAGTCTTCCAAGGTTCGGCTCAAGGGAAGAGGTCAAATCATCGACTGTAAGTTAGATGTTCCGCTGTCAATAGTAACTCTTAATAGAGAAAATCTAACACAACAATTGCGTACATTTTTACAATAAATTCATTAATGCATAAGCGACGATCTTAAGCCGCGAAACTTTCACGGAGAAAGTGTCGAGCTACCAGACACTTGACCGAAAAGAGAAAAGGGACCATCTCATTAGTGCGAATAATCTGAAGACATTGAGAGAGAAAAATGAATTGGATTTTTTGTTCTTTTCTGTTTTTTTCTCATTCGCTTTGTTTTCATTTGGAATAATTTTGTTTCTCCATGACATTAATTAATTATTTTCTTTTAATCTTCAATGTTACATTTCGATTTTAAATTAATTCTTAAATGTGAACAATCATCTTGTGATTCTTTGGAATATTCTTAAGTTAATCTTCAATTGTTGATCTTCTTTGGACTTGCGGTAAAATTTTCTTCTTTTCTTTCTTTCTCCAAATTGAAACATTTATTTTTTTCTTTCATTGGTTAATTGTTCTTTTAGAATTCAATTGTAATTGAATTAGAAAATCTCATAGATTTTAACAATGGCGCTTAAAGGAAAATACTCTCACTTTTACTCTCTATTTCTCCTGCACATGTGTTCAATTACATCGCTTCTTCATTCCTGATCATCTTCATTTTCTTTCAGAGAAAATTCTCTCCTTCTTTCTTTCCTCTCTCACTTCTCTTTCTCTGCCTTTTTAGATTCAATTTGTCTCTTTTTTTGTTACACTAACAATATCTCTCTATGTTGTTAGTATCTCTGTGTTAAGTTGTTCTTTATCATGAATCCTAATTTACTTAATTATAATTACAGGCCTGTAAATTCATCAACCATTCCTATTTTATCTTCGACAATATCTTCACCTCTAACAACCTCACCTTCAAATCGATTGAATCAAGTTCATCTACTACCTTCATCCGACGTCTCGATTAATTCTGGTCTCATCAATAAGATGCAAACATCATCATCGTATCTTCCCTTTGACGATAGTACAGCTTTGTTGAATTTTTTTGTGAGTATTTCGAATAATCCATATGATCATCATCGTCATCAATAGAAGAACAATTTTCTATTTCCTTTCCTAATTTTCCACATGAAAAGAAAAAAAAATCAAATAGAAAAGAAAAACCATCTCCCTGTTGTGTATTCTTCTTCCCCAATCTACTTCACCACCTGATACATTTGCATCATATCCTTTTCTCTTTATACAATTTCATCATTTTTAATTGTCCATTTTAATTCGTTAAATTGTTCCATTGATCGATTAATAAGATCTAATCGAAATTTTAATTCACTCTTCTCAAAGACTATCAAGCAAATTTCAATTACACCTTTGCCTGTGGTTCTGTCTCTCTGTTTGTTTTACTTGGTGTTTTACTCTCTCTCTGTCTCTGTCTCTCTTTTTCTCTCTGTCTTTTTTGTCTTTCATTTTTGTTTTTTTCTCTGTATTTTGGAATCATCCTGTTTCCTTTTTCTGATACTTTTCATTGGATTCTCTTCTAACGAAGGAAAATTGAATCTCCCTATTTAATTGAACTTTCTTTTGAAAATCAAGGACATTATTTGCCCCTCTTTCTTGCTCATCGATTGTTAAAAATCAATTGGATAAACTTGGTTATTCCATCGTCTTGTCTGAAAATCTCTTGTAAACATCACCATATCTTTTAGTCTACAAATTTATTGTGATTCTCTTATTTGATTGCGAGAGATTCATATTACCTTGAGTTCAGTTTATTCTCCTAGAAGAATAGATCTCAAAGAGAATTCCTATTTCTTGTTAAGGCTATTTACACCTTCCATGTATCAATCACTGTATTTATTACTAATTTGATTCTTTTTTTTCTCATATTTTTTTGATCAGATGAATGACACTGACAACGTTTCAACTATGGCACCTAATCAAATGGCTTCAAATGAAATTATTTCTGACCAAAATCACCAACAACTTGCTGGAACAACCAATGATCATCCCTATTCAAGAGTAGAACGAGATATGAGAAATGATCATCAATTAACACCAATCAACAACTCATATGTTTCTAACTCATCTAATTTACAAACAGGTCGAATTAACTCAAATTCAATCGGAGGTAATAGTCAACATCATTCATCCCTTCACTCACATTCAGCTCATCATCATCATTCACCTCAACAACAACAACAACCTCACCAACATCAACATCAACCATCCTCACATCATCAACAATCAATTCATCCTTCACATCAAAGACAACAACACCAACAGCAACATCAACAATTACAACATTCAATGTCTCACCATCTATTAGCTCCACATTCACATTTATCTCACTCGATTCCTCATCATTCAATTCACAATTATGTACAACAGCCTAACTCTAATCACTCATATAATCCTAATTACTTAACACAACCACCTAATATAGTTAATCATGGTTCACCTGAACAGGGTAGAGGACTTAACAGTCCAGATCCATCTCCAGGTAACAATATTGGGAATATTTTAACAATTAATAACGATGAATCGCCGAGCACTCGTTCTTCAGCGAATGCAAGTACTTCAAGGTATTTAAATCGTCTTTTTTTTATCGAAATTCTCTTATTCTATTTTGAATTATTTTCCAATATTTTTCTTTTCTTTTTCATTTTCTATTCATAGCCTATCTGCTGGTACAAACTCTTATCAAACTTCATCACAGTCAACAAATTCATCTCAAGCTACGAATTCATCACAAGCAACTATATCATCACAAAAGTCTGACGATCTTTCCCAAAAGTCGAGTCAACCTTTCAATTGTGATTCGGAAAGAAAAAAGCATAATGAGACTTTAACATCATCATCATTAGGAATTCCCTGTGGATTAATTGAGGCACCACCACCGCCTCCGCCTCCACCAATCCTATTACCACCCAAACCTGAAGTTATCGATATCTCACCCATTCGAACAAGAGATGAAAAGAAAGAGGATAATATTAAAATCTCTCAAACAATATCAACAGTACCCTTTTCATTATCATCATCACCTCCAGGAACTGTTTGTGTACAAGTTGAATCAGTTACTACCACTTGTGTTGTCCATCGATTACGATATGAAGGTCGTGTCATCGCTGAAACCGTGGTTAACCAACATGAATCATCTGTTCCCTTAGGAACTGTTCGTATAAATGAGACTGAGCTTGAACAAAAAGGTCCTTTTACAATTTCTACTATTGGAGAATTGCGATGTAGTTTTCCATACTCAAGTGATTCAAACAATTTAATTGGCGATGTTGCTTCTTCTAGTAATACCTTTAATAGCTACGCTAATAACACTAGAGATTCAAATCGGACTGAAAGCAAATTCTCTGTGAGATCATCGACTAATGTTGAATCAAGAACTAAACCAAGTGGGTCTGGTGTAACTCGTAAATCTAGTAAACCAAGTTCGTATAAAGAAAGTAGATCAACCTTAGATTCTTCCAGCTCAATTTTACCTTCATCAAATAAACTTGATACCATCATGGAATTATCAACACCTTCTCCTACCACTACAACCACCACTTCCATGAAAAGCTCAAATAAGAGGAAAATATCTTCCCTTTCAAGTAACACTACGAGTAAAAGGATGAGAAAACATGGAAAACGTATCGATGAAGAAAAGGAACCTCCGGTGATGAAAAAAGGATCTACTGGATTGACAGGGATTCTGATAGTGTAAAGATTAAAGATAATGAGAGTACAACAAAAAAAGAGGAATTGATAGACAATGAAGAGACCCGCCGGGCAACAGCTTCTGTTTTACTTTCTCTACATGGTGATTCTTCACTATTAAGAATGAAGAATATGGTTTCTATTCCTGAGATTGTTATTGACAGAATAAGAGAGCCCGAGTTTCGACATATTGAAAAGGATAATCAAGTTTTCGCAAAATGGGCAAGAGATAAAAACTTTTACCCTGGAAAAGCAACATCACCCCAAATGGATTCCAAATGGTTAATAACTTTTGATGATGGTGAACAACGATCTGTCCATGAAAGTGAAATTATCTCAATTCCTTACCTGGTTCCTGGTCAACAGGTTATGTTAACTTATACCAATGATAGTTGTGCTCAGAGAGTAATTAAAAAATGTTTCGTTCGTGAAGGAATTGATGTTGAATATCAGGTTGAAAATGATGAAACACGTTATCCAACACGTAAAATTTTTCTAACCTCTGACATGGCTGCTATTCTTTTAAGTAAACAATCAAAATTGCCTTCTAATGCATCCAAATTTGCCGATGTTGATCTCAATAATATTATACCTAAAAGGTCACGGGTAACCAAACCAATAACCTCATCATCAAATCCATTACCACAATCATCTAATAATAACAATACTGTTAATCCTTCAATGTCTCTGCCCACTACAATTACGAGTCAAACAATTTCTAGCGATGATCTTGGTTCACATGGTGATTCGGATACAGGATCAGTTAACAGTTACAAGAGTACAAAAAGTCGTAGTACATCATTTAGTAAACAATTTTTGCCCTCATTAAGCCCATCCTCATCTAATCGACCATCAAGTGAGATATCATCCAAGACAAAGAAAACTTCGGGCAAATATCCACCTCCTTTACCTCTTTCGAATAAGAAAACTAGTGATTCTTCTTCATCTTCATCTTCATCTTCAACAAAAAATGAACGATCATCAGGTGGTAAATCATCTTCATCAACCAATTCTGCCTCGAAAACATTATCAACTCTAATTCACCAAGGAGAGAAAGAGAAACTTCTTGGTCCAATTCCACCGGAGGGAAGTAATCTTTTCGCTGGTATTGGTTTTCTTTTAACAACAACTAATAAAACTAATAAATCGAACGGTGAAATGTACTCATCTGAGGCCGGTTCTAGTATACCTTTCGACGCTGACTATTTAACCACACAAATCCAAATGGGTTCAGGTAAAATCTTTTCAGATGTTGATGCAGCTCGGGTAAGTTGTTTTAACGGTGCTTTGATTCATGACAAATTAATTTGTGACTTTTTTCGCTCTCTTCTTTTTACAGAAATGCACTGAAATCAATGAAACCGTTCTGATTGCTTACACTTATTTAAAATCATCTCTTTACATGCAATGTTTACATGGTGGTATTCCTTGTGTAATGCATACCTGGGTCATTGAATGTTGTCGTGAAGGACAATTACTCCAAAAATCAAAATATCTTTTACCCTCGGGCTATAGTTTAATCAAATCAAATCTTTCATCAGACAAGTATGTTGATTATTAATTCAACTGGTGGTTTCTATTTTAATCTTATATTTATTTGATATTTTTATCTTTTCTTGTTTCACCAAACAGAAATGTATTCAAGAAAAGTGCATTTCTATTCAAAGGACTGAAAATAATGATCGCTGATACTAAATTAATTGATAAATGGAAACCAGTGTTAATTACTGGTTCATCAATTATTGTTTCTAATTTACCACCGGCAACAGGCTCATCAACTAGTAAGTAAATTGTTGATGCTTTTATAGTTGATTACCTTTATCAAAACTAACTATTGTTTTTTATTTTCTTTTACATAGGAAAAGCCAGTAATTCAGTGGATTTAATAATTGCCGATACCAATTGTCCAAGTCCGATAATTAAGAAAGCGCAACAAATGAATATTCCAATTGTGACAAGCGAATATCTCGCTCAATGTTTGATAAATGGGAGAAAATTATCCCATGATTCTCATGAACAATTTAAATATAAATAACCTAATTATTATCTATCATTTTATGTTCGATCGCTTGACCCTTTACACTATTGTAACTTTTTTCATCATTTTACCTTTGACCCACCTATTGTTGTTCATTTCTACACTTTGTTCTTTCTTTAAATTTGCATTTGCATTTTCTTTTCTTTCAAATTATCATCATCATCAGCATCATCATCATAATTACCTCATCAGCATTTGCCATTATCACCATGGATTCATCATTAATCGCAATATGAAGGCTAAAGTCATCAATTTCTTCCGGTGAAACTTTGTATTAACGTGTAAACAAAATGTTAGTTATAATCGTTGATTACTAATCCACCAAAAAAAATCAAAACCATTAAATGGACAAACATTGTCAGTTAATTGCTTTAAAACCCTCAATTTCTTAACTCGTCTCGAAATTGAGACTAATTGATTTAGCTGATTGGCTCTTTAATCATTATCGTTTCTTTTAGCCGAAAATATTATCGTGAACAAAATGGTTGAGGAAAATCCTCATTTGGATATGATATTCATGGAGAAATAAAAACCTTTGCATGGAACAAGTTGAATTCATTACGAAGGTAAATATGATTTCAGTTCAGAGAAATGAGCTAATATTATAGCCATTTTCATGAAGAAATATTCGAGTCACTGTATTGACCGGAAACTTGTGGTAATTTGACTTGTCGAAAAATAAATTGAATAATTCAGTACCGAATTCACAATCAATGTTAATGACGAAATGATCAATAGTCAAGTTAACGTGTTTAAGAAATTCTTGACTTGGAATATCAAATGGATAATTTTCAATTCTCTGGGTATAGATTTTGAGAGTTTCTAATGATGATTGATATGTATCGATAATCCATTGATCAGGAAACTGTTGATTCTCATTCATTTTCAATCCATTGAAAATTAACACAATATATTTAAGATCAGCATCAGATCCGTAAAATTTAGCAGCACATGAGAGGAAACCTCGTTGGAAATCATTGGCATCTTCGAGAAAATGACGAACTGTTGGACTATCACGAAGAAAAGCATTGAAACATAACTTTTCGACTTCTTCTTCGCTTAGAAGATCAGAGTCCTTTCGATCCCGAAATCGAGAAATTACTTTCGAACAAAATGTCCAATCATAGTCTAATGATAGATTATCAACTGTTGATTCGACAAAATTTTTTTCCATTGTATCAATCATCTTTTTCTGATCGCGATAAGCGATTTTACGCTTTTCCATCCTAAAAATATCCATTGAAGATCGATAAGCATCAATGATCCACTCCGATGGATATTCTGGTTCTTCATCCATCTTAAGACGATTAAAAGTCGACGAAATATAATCCATGTTGTCCACGTAACTTTTTGTAGCGAGCGAAAAGAAAATCTTCTGAAAAAGATTGGCGTCATAGAGAAAATTATTGACAGTTGGACTTTCTCGAAGAAAGTAATCAGAAAAGATCTTCTCAGCTTCTTGTTCGGTTACAAATCCAAATGTATTATATCGAAATTGACTCAATATCCTGGCACAAGTTTTATAATCGATTTTATCGAAATATTTATGAGTAAAATGAATAAAAATATTCTCCATTTTCTCGATAAGATCTTTAGACTGAATAATCGACGAACGTTGGTTTTCATTCACTGGATATCCTCTGCTTTCGTTGTAAGTTTCGAAATAATTAAATGTTTTTCGCTTCTCAAGGCCCTTCAAGTAATTCGCAACCAAGCGAGAATATTTTTTAGATATTGAATCAAGTGTTGGAAGCTTATTGCCATCGATTTTCATAGCGTAAATTGTTGACACCAAATAATCTGGGTCTAATTCACGAGGATCAGAAACAGCGAATTCACTTATTACGGTAAATTGGAAATGATTGTAATTTATCATGATTGAATGATTATTGTCAAAGAGCAATGCACAAAAATAATAAGAAACAAAATAGGTAATGGTTTTTGAAAAGTGGCTCAAGACTGACCGTAACTAAAATGGCTGATCTATTGTCAATAATTGACCTCAATCAAATGGAATGGGGCTTCAAAGTCATCCAAGAGAAGAACTAGTTTGGAAAGGACTATAATTGTTAGTCTGGCTTTAGACCATTTGGTTTAAAGCTCTAAGATGACCTTTGAACTGACATTGTGCCAGACCAATTTATATATTTACGACACAATCAGATAAACTCGTTTTGCTAGTAAGACACTAGATTATTCTCATGCTACAGAGTGTACCGGGATTCTAAGTGCACCTAAAGGATACATCATCCAGTTGACATTCACTTTGTTCAACTTGGAGCCAAGTCGAAAGTGTAACTTTGACTATCCTTATACTTATCCTCCAATGAAAAACTGTACTTATCATATTCAAGTTCCCCAGGAGAAAGTGATTCAGTTAAGTTTTTCATCCTTCGACCTTGAAGATTCACCAAACTGTTATCAAGACTATATAACAATCTCAGATCCTGGAGTGAGTTCTAGTAATCAAACGGAACGATTCTGTGGTTCTCAAATTCCAGATCAAATTACCTCGAATTTGAATGAGCTGATTATCCATTTTAAATCAGATTTTGTGGTAATTCAATTCCACCGGTAATCCAATCAAGTGAAGAACAATTAATTTTAAAATTTAAACTGATACATCGATTTCATTTGAAGGATTTGTCGCTTCTTATTCATTCATCGATGGATCTAAACATTGTGGTGGAACGTTAAGAGCACCAATGGAGAGATTGTCAGTCCCAATTATCCGAGACGTTATCCAGCCTCACGTCGATGTTTATGGAAAATAATTGACCTGAAAATAATCAGATTCGAGTTCAGTTCATGCAAATTGACCTTGAATCACATGATACATGCGTCTTTGATTATATTGAAATTTACAATGGTCAAGATACTTCAGCTCCGCTGGTTGGCCGATATTGTAAATCCAAGTTACCAAGTCCGGTTGTGTCTCATTCAAATACAATGGTCATACTGTTTGTCTCCGATAGCGGTGTCTCTGGACCAGGATTCCGTTTAAAATATGACATTGCCGAAACGGGCTGTGGTGGTGTACTAAAATCGGCTAGTGGACTTATCATATCACCAAATTATCCTTTCCCATATAATCATAATGCTCAATGTACTTGGATAATTAAAACATCTAAAGGATCTCGACTTATTTTGAACATCGTTGATTTGGCTTTCGAATCGCATCAAATATGTACTCATGATCGATTAGACATTTTCGATGGTCCAGATGATAAATCGAAAAGACTTTTACGAGCCTGTGGTGATCAACTAATCACCGAACCAATTAGATCAACGTCCGATTCGGTTACGGTTAAAATGGTCACTGATGCATCGGTTGCTTTTAAAGGATTCAAATTAAATTATGCCACCAATTGTACCAATACAATTAAGGGAACTCGTGGTGCAATTGAGACACCAAATTATCCTAACCTTTATTCTGGTAATTCAAATTGTTCCTGGAAAATCAGTGTACCTCAGGGTAATAATATTAGTTTAGCTTTTCGCGAATTGAAGTTCAACTCACCTTGATCATCGTCCTACCTGTTGATCACTTCATTGAATAAAGGAAATCAAAGTAAATATTGTGACAACAATTCAACTGTTGTTAATATTTTAATTACTGATCATGATATCACAATTGGTTATGTAAATATTGATTGAAAATTAGATAAATGTATATTTAGAAGGAGAATTTGTCTCCTAGCTATTGAGAGATTACATATTTTTAGGTCATTTTTAGTTCTTTAAAAATCTTCATAAATCACAATACGAATTATGAAATGATTATAAAAACAAGAGCTAAAGAAATCGGTTGTATTGTTACTCCAAATTTAACCACTGTTCTCATCGTAATCGTATCCCTGTGCGCGCATAAATAAATAAGAAACTTCCTTAGTATTGTATTCATCACAAATGGGTAGATTCAAGAAGGAATTAATTAACTCGGTACTGAATTTGAAATCAAATTTTCTTTTGGAATATTTGATTGTTAACATAATAAATGTTTCTATTATATTCTTGTAATCATCATACGGGTAATTTTCGACTCTCTGGGTATAGATTTTGAGAGTTTCTAATGAGGATTGATATGTATCGATAATCCATTCATCAGGAAACTGTTGATTCTCATTCATTTTCAATCCATTGAAAATTAACACAATATATTTAAGATCAGCATCAGATCCGTAAAATTTAGCAGCACATGAGAGAAAACCTCGTTGGAAATCATTAGCATCTTCGAGAAAATGACGAACTGTTGGACTATTTCGGAGAAAAGCATTGAAACATAACTTTTCCACTTCTTCTTCGCTTAGAGTATCTATGTCTTTTCGACGTCGAAATCGAGAAATTACTTTGGAACAAAATGTCCGATCATAATCTAATGATAGATTATCAACTGTTGATTCGATAAAGTTTTTTTCTATCGAATCAACCATCTCTTTCCAATTACCAAGTGTATTATGTATACTTTCATTTACCAAAATGCCCAAAGACGAGTGATAAGCATCAATGATCCATTCCAACGGATATTCTTGTTCTTGATCCATTTTGAGACGATTGAATGTTGTCGATATATAATTCACATTATTGATGTTACTTTTAGCAGCAAATGAAAGGAAAATCTTCTGAAAAATGTTCGCATCATCGAGAAAATTAATAACAGTTGGACTTTCTCGAAGAAGATAATCAAAGAAAATCTTTTCAGCTTCTTGTTTGGATACAAGTTCAGAAGTTCCGTAACGAAAGCAACTCAATATTCTGGCACAAGTTTCATAATCGATTTTATCATCGAAATATTTATAAGTAAAATGAATAAAAATATTCTCCATTTTTTTTATATTCCCATCCTGGCCACTAATTACACCTAAATAGTTATGTGGACGCATAATTGGTCCAAAAAGACGTTCAGGACGCCTCTCTTTCAAATGCCATTGCTCTTTGACACTTTTAGTACACCGATTTTTTTCATTAAACCTGAAAAAAATGCTAGCGATGTCCTCAGGAGTAGCACGATTCACTTCATTAGTGTCCATGGCATTGTATGTAGACATTAAATAATCAGGTTTAATTTCTGGAGGATCAGAAAAAGCAATTTCCCGCAGAAAAGTCCACTGAAACTCATTAACGCTCATTATTATAACTAAACTTGAAGGTAGTGGAAAGGGTAAATACTGAAAAAAGAACCAAAAGAAAAGTTTGCTGATAAAGTTTAACGGAGAAGTGACCTTAATATAGACAGAAACAAAAATGGTCGAAACCAAAAAACAAACATTGTTATTCTTGCAAAACTGGTTCATCTCTGAAATGACCTTTCAAGTGCCATTTGCTTTGTCTAGGCTTCTGAATGTAATTCCCTTTGTCTGTCATTAGCAAATGGAACTGCCACCAAAGCCCTTTGGCGATAATTTGAAGCCTTTGCTAGAGAGCAAATAACCTTTACTCCTAATAAGCTTTTATCTAGGTAACTAACAGGTTGTTCCAATTGTTAATCTACAATGTACTAATACACAATCTCTTTCGTTATTAGAGATTCAGTTTGCACTTTGGTCTTTCTTTAAATTTGCATTTTCTTTTCTATCAAATTATCATCATCATCATAATTACCTCATCAGCATTTGCCATTATCACCATGGACTCATCATTAATCGCAATATGAAGGCTAAAGTCATCAATTTCTTCCGGTGAAACTTTGTATTAACGTGTAAACAAAATGTTAGTTATAATCGTTGATTACTAATCCACCAAAAAATCAAAACCATTAAATGGACAAACATTGTCAGTTAATTGCTTTAAAACCCTCATTTTCTTAACTCGTCTCGAAATTGAAACTAATTAATCTATTTGATGCATCCAAAGAGATTGAGATTCAATTTCCGCTGTTTAACAATTAATATTGATGATGATACAATTCAATTCACTGTTAAAAAATATGTTCACAATTTACGGAAGTATCTTAATTGTGATTAACTTTTTCTCATTGATTCTTTAGCTCATGAAACCTAAATTGGTTCAAATGTTTAATTTTTTGCCTCTTTAATCATTATCGTTTCTTTTAGTTGATTATATTTTTTGCTATCAATTCGTTAACATCTATTAACTATTAAATGTTCATCATCAGTAACAATTTGTATCACTTTTTTAATGAGTTAATTTTTTCACGTTGATTGTAGTGTTGATCACAACAAGAAGGTTTTACAATTTAACCTCAATGTTTACACATTTTTACAATCAGTAAGTTGCGAAAAAAGTTGATGATTAACAAAGTGATTAATTGATTGTCCTTATCCTTCAATCAACGCGACAAGAATCAAATGATATTGATGTTTATGACAATGATCAACATTTGATTTGATCAGATTGTTGATTACTGTTAATTTGAGCAGGTCAACTCCTTATTAATTGATTGAAGGCTGAACCCATTCCGAGATAATAACATGATAGTAAACAAGAAAATAATTTGAACGATTAAGCTTAACAATTAAGAGAACTGGATTAAAAGGATGCCCATTAATGGGAGGTTTCAAAAGATATATTGACAATTGATAATCATGATCAACTAATTGTTATCATCTCAAATCAATATATAAAGTATATAAATCGACTGGTTAATCAGTTGATCAGTCAGTGTGTAGTTTGGACAATTAAGAACAACAATTGAAATTGTTTATAAACAATACAATACAATAGTAAATAGAAAGTGAAAAGTTTGTTAATTGCAACAATCAAAGATGATTCATTGTCAATCACCATCAATGAGATTTATTTCATCACCTATTGGACTTTGTTGTTTAATTGTTGTGGTCTTCTGTCAGCTGACCATCGGTACTCATCATCATGGTGGTGGTCATTCAAACATTTATCGTGAACAAAATGGTTGGGGAAAATACTCATTTGGATATGATATTCATGATCCATGGGGTAATAAAAACTTTCGCAAGGAACATGGTGAATTCACCAAAAAGGGAGGCCATGTTGTCGGTTCCTATGGTATTTATGATGCCAAAGGTAGATTACGATTAGTTAAATACACTGCAGGTAAAAATGGATTCGTGGCAACAATTAAAACCAATGAGCCAGGAACAGGTAATGAAGATTCAGCTGGAGTTTATTTCAATGGCGGTGACAGTCATAAGGGAAAATGGCTGTTCGATGTTGGAACTCATCATAAGGATCATTGGGGTAAGTTGATTGAATTAACTGTCGATTATTTAACTCAAATTGCAAATTGTCAGGATCATATCATGATATTGTAATCGAAGATCAATATTTCAGTTTAATGATAATTTTCAATCTCATGATTTAGGTAAACACCATGATCATCACGATCATCACGATCATCATGGTGGTCATCATGGGCACCATAAGATTGGTCATCATGGTAAATATATCGCTGCTGCTTCAGAGTTGAAAGGATCATCTGGCTCACCAGCTCGTCATCAACGACGATTTGATGATAAAGGTTTCCCTTTGGATGGTGAACATGGTAATGGTCATCCTAACGGTCCAGTTAATGCTAATGGTTTTGATCAGAGAGGCTTCAGGTCAGGTGATTTTGGTTCAGGTAAAAATCAACAGAGAGGAAATAATTTCCATGGCAGGGAACGAGAATCAACCGGTGGTAAACACAATTTCTCAGGTAAAAGTGGCTTCGATCGTGATCCTTTCCAATCAGCTTTCGGTGAAAGTAAATTTGGTGAAAGCAAATTCGGTGATAATAAATTCGGTGAAGGTAAATTAGCAATTAATAGTGATCGTGATGGAGATGGTGAATATCGACGATTAGCAAGTAATTATCCTCGAGCTGAAGAAGGTCACAAATATAGTAAATCATCATTAGATTAATCCAATTGTCGTAATCAACTATTTTCATTCAATTATTATCAAAGCAAAAAGTTTCTCAATGAAATTATTGTTTTTTGATTTTCATCCTTGTAAATATTAATCCCGTTCATTATTTAAACCTTTCAAATTGCTAATTGTTTTAATCATCTTTCTACCTTTCATTCAATTCATATTTTTATAATTCTTTAAATTGTATTAACTGTATTAACCTCAAATCTATTTATTAAGCCAAATAAAATATCTTGAAGTAATTGTAAACAATATAATCTCCAATTTTCAATATTAAAAAAAAAGAAAGTTATCCAACAGCAAATTGAACTTTATCCAATAGTTTTCACTTTTCGATGAGAAAAAAAAGGTTATTAAGTAAAAAGTGAATTAACTGTAACAATTAAATCAAATTATTGGAATTTGATTGATATGGAATTACAATCAATATCAATTGTTAAACGTTGACCAATTTTTTATTATAACTTTTTGGTTGAACTTTTTTCTACAGAATCTATCTCTCTTCAGATTGTACATGTATGATATTGTTTCTAATGTGTCACAATTAAAGATCAAGTATTAATAACTTGATTTAAAAATGTTTTCGTCACGATAACGAAGTAACAAGTTACAAGCCCGTCTCATTATCTAGTAGTTTACTGTCTAAATAAAACTCACGATGTTGATACGAGATGAAATGTTTTGAAATACAAAATTGAACTAAAACAAGAGTAACAAAAATCGTTATCCTTTCTAAACCAGTTCACATCTGAAATGACCTTTGAACCACCGTTTTCTTTGTTAGAGGCCAAGTTTAGACAGTAAAATGGGCCATTTTACGAATCTGGTCAAACATCTACTTAAAAGCTAAACAACAATCGTATCCTTGTACATACACGTATGCTTGTGTAACTTCCTTGAAAGTGTATCTATCGTAAGCGGGTCGACTCAAGAAACAATTGATTAACTCGGTACCGAATTTGATATCAAAATTCCTCTTAAAATACTTTATGGTTGCCAAGATAAACTGATCGATCTTTGTCTTGTAAGTTTCTTCCATATAATTTTCGATTCTCTCGATATGAGTTTTGAGAGTTTCTAATGACGATTGATATGTATCGATAATCCATTCATCAGGAAACTGTTGATTCTCATTCATTTTCAATTCATTGAAAATTAACACAATATATTTAAGATCAGCATCAGATCCGTAAAATTTAGCAGCACATGAGAGGAAAACTCGTTGAAAATCATTGGCATCATCGAGAAAATGACGAACTGTTGGACTATTTCGGAGAAAAGCATTGAAACATAACTTTTCGACTTCTTCTTCGCTTAGAGTATCTATGTCTTTTCGACGCCGAAATCGAGAAATTACTTTGGAACAAAATTTCACATCATAATCTACTGATAGATTATCAACTGTTGATTCGACGAAATTTTTTTCCATTGTATCAATCATCTCTTTCCAATCAGCATATAGATTTGGTATATTTTTATCCATGAAAATATCAATTGAAGATCGATAAGCATCGATGATCCATTCTGATGGATATTCTGGTTCTTTTTCCATCTTAAGACGATTGAAGGTAGACGAGATATAATCCATATTGTTCACGTAACTTTTAGCAGTGAATGAAAGAAAATCTTCTGAAAAAGATTCGCACCATCGAGAAAATTATTAACAGTTGGACTTTCTCGAAGAAAATAATCAAAGAAAATCTTTTCAGCCTCTTGTTCGGTTACAAGTCCATATCTATGATAACGAAAGCGACTCAATATTCTGGCACAAGTTTTATAATCGATTTTATCATCGAAATATTTATAAGTAAAATGAATAAAAATATTCTCCATTTTTTTGATAATCCATTTCGGATAATGATAACATGGTAGACGAGAATTACTTGGAATCATACATTGGCCAGTGAGATATTCCAAATGTTTGAAACTTTGTCGTTCTTTAATTGCAGGATAACAAGGCGTTTTTCCAAGATAGGTGTTGAAGAGGATGAAAACGTTTTGAGCATCACATTTTTCTTTGGTGTTCATCGCTGTGTATGTAGATACTAAATAATCGGGATTGATTTCAGGAAAATCAGCATAAGCAATTTCACTTATGAATACTATTTGAAAATGATTTTCCATGTAGAACCTGTGACTGACCTTAAGACGAATGAACTTTGAAAACCGTAATTGAAGATGAGGAAAAACAAGTCAAAAGAAGCGCTACCACAATTCTAAATTGAAGAAAATCATTAATGAATTGAACATAAACTCGTAACAAATTGAATGGAAAAAAAACAATTTTTTCTTTCTAAACCAGTTCTTATCTACCACAATTACCCTATACGAGACAGTATACTGACCGAAACTAAAATGGCCACAGTTCTCTGTCTGAAACTGGCCTCAAACAAAGAAAACAGTGGTTCAAAGGTCATCTTAGAGATGAACTGGTTATGAAAAGTAACAATTGTTGTTAAACTGGTTTAAGGTCATTTTGGTCATAAACTGACCCAACCTTCAAAATTAAACAAACGAATGAAAGGAAAATCTTCTGAAAAAGATTCGCACCATCGAGAAAATTATTAACAGTTGGACTTTCTCGAAGAAAATAATCAAAGAAAATCTTTTCAGCCTCTTGTTCGTCCATGCAAGTCCATATCTATGATAACGAAAGCGACTCAATATCCTGGCACAAGTTTTATAATGGATTTTATCATCGAAATATTTATGAGTAAAATTGACAAAAATATTCGGTAAATAAATCGGTTCAATTGATAAATTTCTCGCCTCTTTAATCATTGTCGTTTCTTTTAGTTGATTATTATCGTTAACATCTATTAACTATTAAATGTTCATCACCAGTGAAAATTTGTATCGCTTTTTTAATGAGTTAATTTTTTCATGTTGATTGTAGTGTTGATCACAACAAGAAGGTTTTACAATTTAACCTCAATGTTTAAACATTTTTACAATAATTAAGTCGCGAAAAAAGTTGAGGCCATGGTGAATATCGACGATCATTAAGTGTTTGACCTCAAGCTGAATGTCAAAAGTATAGTAAATTATTAGATTAATCCAATTACCGTGGTCAACGATTTTCATTCAATTACTATAATATTAATAATATGAAAACCATGATTAATAAAAATGCGTTTAATTGTTTGGTTTTTCGATTTCGGAATCGGATAATCACTTGATCTGATGTCGTTTGAGTAACTGAATAATCACTGACTATTTCGATATTCATTGACTTTTCGAGTTCAGAGAAAATGGTCGAGATTCGTATCTTAGATCCTATTTGATAATCCAGTTTATTGTGAATCATCTAACTTTTCAAGGTCAATTCCCGAAGGACACAATCTAAGGTCATTTCAAGGTCACAATGTTCAGAGCGCGAAAAGCTATGCAGAAGTTTTGGGTTTGCTAGTATTCGATCAAACACAATCTGAGATACACTTTTCTTGCGTCTGAAACAGTAAAACATTGTTTTCTAAAATCTTTACTCTAATTCTGGAAGCGATGCTGATTTTTAATGAGCAACCTGTTGATTGTTTTCTTACTCTAGATAAAATTCATTTAATTGAAGAATTGAGGCACGATTAGGAGAGTATATTATCTTCCTGCGAAAGAAAGGTTTAAATTGTCACCAAAGGACTTTTGTGACACTTCCACTTTCCAGTGACAGAAAAAGGGAATTACATTCATGAGCTAAAAAAGTTGATCAGAAAGTTGTTGTTTCCAACTCCATGTTTGATTCAGTTCTTAGAAATGATGGAATTATTCTTGTATCGACTCACTTGTCGTATTGTCATAAATGTAATCGGTTGCACTTGACTTTCGATTGTGAATAATTTGGTCTTTCATCTATTCGGTCATTCATTTAATCGTACTCCCGAATCATCAGTCGGTAGTTTAAGTAATTGCGAAGTGTCATCGCGACCACATAACCATAATTGTATTAATTTCATAACATTTTCATCTGGACCATCAACAGCATCACGAAGATCAGGCCAATAATTAGCTAAGTCACTTGAAAGTGAATCAAGTTGGTCTATTTTGCCGAAATCGTTTGCAATGTTAATCATTTTACTTATCATTTGTAAATCTGGTTCTTTGAACTTACTTAGATTCTAATCAGTCAATCGAGTTCTAAGAATAGTTTCCAATTGGTCAAATTTCGAATGGTTGATTGATAATCTGAAATATGACGAAAATCTAACTCATTAGAAACTCATTTCTTTTTAAGATAAATTTGAATTGATACACTAACGATAACCACCTTGAGCCTTGATAAGGTTTCATGGTGATGCTGATAACGGTAATTATTGTTTTACTGATTATTTGAGTATCTTGAAAAGCTCAAGTTGAATTTTCTCATGTGAATATTTACCTTAATTCTGGAAGCGATTTTTCTGATTTTTATATGCAACCTGTTGATTACTTGTATCGTTGAATGAACAAACTGTACTTTTTATAAATCCAACAATTTCAGCGGATGGCATCGCCTTTCGATCAAAGTGACATTCGAGAACAAAATTATGAAGACCACGAGTTCGTGTTCACACTAGAATGCTCATCAAAAGGAGAGGCCATATTATCTCAACGATCAAACAAAACTGAATCGTATGCAAGGAATAATATGATTAGATTAGCTCGGAGAAAAAAAACCGAGTCAATTTCTGGAATCGTAATCAGATTTTTCTTTTGTCTTTTAAAAGACATAATTTTATTAACAATAAACAAAGTTGTTTCAATCAGATCATCACGTTAAGATTCATCATCTAAACAGTTAAAAAGTGAATCAAACAGGTAGTCACAGTAATTATTAATAATAAGCATAAATGAATCAATCGGTTTATTACTCTCCTTGATTATAATCAATCAGATTGATTAGCTCGTATGGAAACAACATGATTGTTATTCTCATTTTGATTAGAATAATCTACAAGATTAAATTCCGAGTTTATTATTACCGTTAGAAACGCCATCTAATAAGCAAAGGCCGAGATCTTCCAGTGCTAGAAAATCCTAAGTAATGTTGATTTTTGAGAAAGAAAATGAAAGGGATTTTAAAGTCTCTTTCTCTCTTCTTTCTTTTAATTTTTCTCTCTCATTCTTTCTTTCTTTCTTTTCTCACCTTTTCATTTTCCCTAATTGTTTACTTGAAGTCATTTCTGTTGATTAAAATCAACAAGACGCAGAGACGAAATTACATGAAAAGTTTGATGAATGGGCTGATTTAGAATAACAACTTGTAAGATAAAATAACGAAAAGTTTCATTGATTATAAAGTAAATTGAAAATATGATTGAGTTTTAAATAAATTAGATTGATTGAGATTTTGATTGTTTCACTTGATCTTTTTGATTTCGAGAAAATCGGATAAAAACTTGATCTAATGTTGTTTGAGTAACTGAATAATCACTGACTATTTCGAGATTCATTGACTTTTCGAGTTCAGAGAAAATGGATGAGGTTCTAACCTTAATCTAATGATTGAGATGAACTTCCTTCAATGAAGCTTCACCACCGAAAGCACCACCAATGAACGATTGAGCTGATCCTTTGCATTCCTCCCCTCGACCCACTCGAAGAGTTACCATATAACCTTCGCCAAATTTATTCTTTAAATGTTGAGTGCTACCTTAACATCGGAATCATTAGTCGACCATCACGACCACAAAGAGCTTCATCCCTGTAGATGAAAATCTATCCACGAAAATATCCTCGAAGAGTTTCAAATAACATTCATCAAATAATCCTCGAAGGACACGGTCTAAGGTCATTTCAAAGTCACTATGTTCAGAGCGCGTAAAGAAGTTTAAGTTTGCTAGTATTCGATCAAACACAAGCTGAGATAACTGTTTCTTGCGTCTGATACAGTAAACATTGTATTCCAAAAATCTTCTTAATGAAGAATTGAAGTACTTTTATTCTGAAAGCGATGCTGATTTTCAATGACAGCCTGTAGATTTCCCGTATTGTTGACTTAAGTTGAATCTTCATCACATGTTCTTGTTCCATAGGGTTTGACAACATTGAATCCATTTTATTGAGAACTTTTAACCTGTCAAGGTCACTTCTCGAAGGACGCAATGTTAGGTCATTTCAAGGTTACGATCAAAGAGCAGCTCAAATTATTTCCTAAATCTTAATGTATTCCCTATTTTCCTTACGAAAGTTGTTATTACTTCATGGATCATGAATATCATATCCGGATGAATATGTACTCCAACCTTTTTGAACCAACCTCAACCTCAACGAGGTCAAACACTTAATGATCGTCGATATTCACCATGGCCTCAACTTTTTTCGCGACTTAATTATTGTAAAAATGTTTAACATTGAGGTTAAATTGTAAAACCTTCTTGTTGTGATCAACACTACAATCAACATGAAAAAATTAACTCATTAAAAAAGCGATACAAATTTTCACTGGTGATGAACATTTAATAGTTAATAGATGTTAACGATAATAATCAACTAAAAGAAACGACAATGATTAAAGAGGCGAGAAATTTATCAATTGAACCGATTTATTTACCGAATATTTTTGTCAATTTTACTCATAAATATTTCGATGATAAAATCCATTATAAAACTTGTGCCAGGATATTGAGTCGCTTTCGTTATCATAGATATGGACTTGCATGGACGAACAAGAGGCTGAAAAGATTTTCTTTGATTATTTTCTTCGAGAAAGTCCAACTGTTAATAATTTTCTCGATGGTGCGAATCTTTTTCAGAAGATTTTCCTTTCATTCGTTTGTTTAATTTTGAAGGTTAGGGTCAGTTTCGAGCTTAAACTTAAGACAATGTTCAAGTAGATTCTCGAATATGGGAAAATCTTGTGAATTGGGATTCTCGACATAATGTACAAGTCGATTTACGAGATCCAAGACATTGTCATCTATCTCGTCTCCTTCGTCGAAAAGATCATGATCGTAAAACGCACAAAAAATTTCGGTTTGACGATTAGTGTAACCAAAAGTTGAGAAATCATCTAGCTGACGCACTTGATCCATCAAATTAACTGGTCCTTATGAGAAAAGAATGGAGAAGCAAATAAAGTTAATAGAATTGAACCGATTTCGGTTTCATGAGCTAAAGAATCAATGAGAAAAAATTAATCACAATTAAGGTACTTCCATAAATTGTGAACACATTTTTAACAGTGAATTGAATTTTATCATCATCAATATTAATTTTTAAACAGCGGAAATTGAATCTCAATCTCTTTGGATGCATCAAATAAATTAATTCGTTTCAATTTCGAGACAAATTAGAAAATTACGAGTTGAGCACTTTAAAGCAATTAACTGACAATGTTTGTCAATTAAATGGTTTTGATTTGTTTTTGGTGGATTAGTAATCAACGATTATAACTAACATTTTGTTTACACGTTAATACAAAGTTTCACCGGAAGAAATTGATGACTTTAGCCTTTATATTGTGATTAATTGTATCATAAAAATAGCAAAGGAGGTAGAAAAAATTGAACTTACTTTCCCATCGATGTGCTGGGATGGTGTATTGGCCACCAGGTAACGGTATATTTTCATACCTGAAGAATCGTTCAACATGATCCTTGAAAATTCTATCTCCTCTAACCACGAATCCACGATTATCAGCACTTTGAAGATTTTTAAAATCTCCCTGAAAAAATCTCTGTTTCTTCTTATTTCAAATCTTTCCTCAGAAAAAAATCCTGTCACATAAAACAACTGGAGAACAACAATCTGTCTCTCACTATATCCCAATCTTAACAATGGATTTCCAGGGAGTATTTCATATGGACTGATTTCTATTCTATTCATAGTTTAAGTTCAATGTTTAAGAATGATAAAGTTGAAATAAAACTGAAAACTGAAAACTGAAAACTGAAAACTGAAAACTGAAAAACTGATTAAATTTTTAACTGTTTAGATCAAAGATTTTGTCTAAAGTGAGACAAAAATTAAATTTGTCCTTTTTAAATACTTAGATGATTAACTAAGGAAGGCTCTAGATTAAACTGATGGGAACAAAATCCAACCATTGGTCGTCTAATAGTTGATCACATGTCAACATCTAAACAATTAGCGGCAGATCATGTTTTCGAAAAGTTACTTTTTCTCATGTTTAGTTACATAAACAAAATTTCCGTCTCTCGACTCATGAGGTGTCAGTGTCTACATTGGTAACTTAATAAACAAAATCAGTCAGAAAGGTTAAGAAATTAATGAACATAATTAACTAAAGGCTTCAAACGGGTTGCTAATTTGTTTTCTTACTGGTTTTAATTGGTTAATTATATAGTTATTAGAAAATTACTTTTCTCATAAGAGATTACGAATATAATTGATCGACTTTTCAAAAGATAAATGTGTCGTTGTGTTGATTTCTCATTCCATGAAAGTTATTGATTCTTTTTCCTTTGAAACTAATTGAGATTTGAATTGGTAAATATACAGGAAGGAATGAAGCTCTTTGTGGTCGTGATGGTCGACTAATGATTCCGATGTTAAGGTAGCACTCAACATTTAAAGAATAAATTTGGCGAAGGTTATATGGTAACTCTTCGAGTGGGTTGAGGGGAGGAATGCAAAGGATCAGCTCAATCGTTCATTGGTGGTGCTTTCGGTGGTGAAGCTTCATTGAAGGAAGTTCATCTCAATCATTAGATTAAGGTTAGAACCTCATTCATTTTTTCTGAACTCGAAAAGTCAAAGAATCTCGGAATAGTCAGTGATTATTCAGTTACTCAAACAACATTAGATCAAATTTTTATCCGATTTTTTCGAAATCAAAAAGATCAAGTGAAACAATCAAAATCTCAATCAATCTAATTTATTTAAAACTCAATCATATTTTAATTTACCTTATAATCAATGAAACTTTTCGTTATTTTATCTTACAAGTTGTTATTCTAAATCAACCCATTCATCAAACTTTTCATGTAATTTCGTCTCTGCGTCTTGTTGATTTTAATCAACAGAAATGACTTCAAGTAAACAATTAGGGAAAATGAAAAGGTGAGAAAAGAAAGAAAGAAAGAATGAGAGAGAAAAATTAATTAAAAGAAAGAAGAGAGAAAGAGACTTTCAAATCCCTTTCATTTTCTTTCTCAAAAATCAACATTTCATTACTTAGGATTTTCTAGCACTTGAAGATCTCGGCCTTTGCCTATTAGATGGCGTTTCTAACGGTAATAATGAACTCAGAATTTAATCTTGTAGATTATTCTAATCAAAATGAGGATAACAATCATGTTGTTTCCATACGAGCTAATCAATCTGAGTACTGAACATTGTGACCTTGAAATGACCTTAGATTTCGTCCTTCGGGAATTGACCTTGACAAGTTGTATGATTTTCGATAAACTGGATTATCAAATAGGATCTAAGATACGAATCTCATTCATTTTCTCTAAACTCGAAAAGTCAATGAACATCAAAATAGTCAGTGATTATTCAGTTACTCAAACAACATCAGATCAATTGTTTAATAAACACGGTTTATCTGATTTACTTGAAATCGAAAAGATCAATTTAAATCGTCGTTGATGACAAGCTGGTGAAACTATTGGATAAAGTTCAATTTGCTGTTGGATAACTTTCTTTTTTTAATATTGAAAATTGGAGATTATATTGTTTACAACTACTTCAAGATATTTTATTTGGCTTAATAAATAGATTTGAGGTTAATACAGTTAATACAATTTTAGGAATTATAAAAATATGAATTGATTGAAAGGTAGAAAGATGATTAAAACAATTAGCAATTTGAAAGGTTTAAATAATGAACGGGATTAATATTTACAAGGATGAAAATCAAAAAACAATAATTTCATTGAGAAACTTTTTGCTTTGATAATAATTGAATGAAAATAGTTGATTACGACAATTGGATTAATCTAATGATGATTTACTATATTTGTGACCTTCTTCAGCTCGAGGATAATTACTTGCTAATCGTCGATATTCACCATCTCCATCACGATCACTATTAATTGCTAATTTACCTTCACCGAATTTGCTTTCACCAAATTTACTTTCACCGAAAGCTGATTGGAAAGGATCACGATCGAAGCCACTTTTACCTGAGAAATTGTGTTTACCACCGGTTGATTCTCGTTCCCTGCCATGGAAATTATTTCCTCTCTGTTGATTTTTACCTGAACCAAAATCACCTGACCTGAAGCTCTGATCAAAACCATTAGCATTAACTGGACCGTTAGGATGACCATTACCATGTTCACCATCCAAAGGGAAACCTTTATCATCAAATCGTCGTTGATGACGAGCTGGTGAGCCATTTGATCCTTTCAACTCTGAAGCAGCAGCGACATATCTACCATGGTGACCAATCTTATGATGCCTATGATTATCATGGTCCTGATGATTATGATGTTTACCTAAATCATGAGATGGAAAAAGTCATTATCAAACTGAAATATTGATCATGATCCTGACGATTTGCAATTTGAAGCAAATAATCGACAGTTAATTCAATCAACTTATCCTAATGACCTTTATGATGAGTTCCAACATCGAACAGCCGTTTTCCCTTATGACTGTCACTGCCATTGAAATAAACTCCAGCTGAATCTTCATTACCTGTTCCTGGCTCATTGGTTTTAATTGATGTCACGAATTCATTTTAACCTTCGTTGTATTTTACTAATCGCCACTCACCTTTGGCATCATAAGTACCATAAGAATCGACAGCATGGCCTAACTCTGTTAATTTTAGCATGTTTCATTTTGAAGGTTAGGGTCAGTTTATTACCGAAATGACCTTAAACCAGTTTACCAACAATTGTTCCTTTTTCACAACCAGTTCATCTCTAAGATGACCTTTGAACCACCGTTTTCTTTGTTTGAGGCCAAATTTTGAACAAAGAACTGTGGTCATTTTAGTTTCAGCTAGTCTTTAAGTCACTTTTCTCTTCCTCAATTTTTCCTTGTGTTTTCTAGTGTTGACAAACGCGTTTCACTACAATGGGTTTCCACTTTTATCCGAATGTAGTGATATTCGAATTTGCTGTCACTAATCTTCCCAATTTTGATCCGGATTATTTGGTGTCAATATTTAATGCGATGAAATCCGATCACTCTCGTCGTAAAGAATGGAATGACTCAATGTACCTCAGTTCAATATCGAGTAAGTACTTTGGTGCCGTTAATTCGTACGCAAAAGGCCTAAGACGCCGAAGACATTCAATTACATCCCTCTCGAGGAAAACGATGACGGGTACTTTGCTTATTACCGTCGCCCTTATTCATCTTGCTTGTCTAAAAATATGAGCAGGAAAATGGAAAATATTTTTCTCTATTTTACTCATAAATATTTTGGTGATAAAATCCATTATAAAACTTGTGCCAGGATATTGAGTCAATTTCGCTATGATAGATATGGACTTGTAACCGAACAAGAGGCTGAAAAGATTTTCTTTGATTATTTTCTTCGAGAAAGTCCAACTGTTAATAATTTTCTCGATGGTGCGAATCTTTTTCAGAAGATTTTCCTTTCATTTGCTGCTAACAGTTACGTGAACAATATGGATTATATCTCGTCTACTTTCAACCGTCTTAAGACGGATGAAGAACCAGAATATCCATCGGAGTGGATCATTGATGCTTATCGATCTTCACTGAATATTTTTAAGATGGAAAATCGTAAAATTTCTTATCGTGACCAGAAAGAGATGATTGATACAATGGAAAAAAATTTTATTCAGTCAACAGTTGATAATCTATCATTAGAATATGACTGGAAAATTTGTTCGAAAGTAATTTCTCGATTTCGGGATCGAAAGGACTCTGATCTTCTAAGCGAAGAAGAAGTGGAAAAGTTATGTTTCAATGCTTTTCTTTGGAATAGTCCAACAGTTCGTCATTTTCTCGAAGATGCCAATGATTTCCAACGAGGTTTCCTCTCATGTGCTGCTAAATTTTACGGATCTGATGCTGATCTTAAATATATTGTGTTAATTTTCAATGGATTGAAAATGAATGAAAATCAACAGTTTCCTGATGAATGGATTATCGATACATATCAATCGTCATTAGAAACTCTTAAAATTCATATCGAGAGAATTGAAAATTATCCAGATGCTGTTTCAAATGAATCATTCTTAAAATTTGTTAACTTGACTATAGATTATTTCCTTCTTAACATTGGTGCTGAATTTGGCACTGAGCTGATCAATCTATTTTATGATAAGCATAATTATCAAAAGAAGTCGACTAATGATGTGTATCGAATATTTCTCCGTGAAAATGGCTACAAAATTCCTGCGGCCTGGAATTAGGATGGCCTTGAGATGAAACGCAAGCAAATTATTCATATTTGAATAGAATTTTTATTTAAATAAACAATAAAATTCATTTTTTATATCATAATACTTATTTTTATTTCAATTATTCTCAATTATTCATTTATTTACAGACCTGAAATAGTCCTATTAGAGGATTTCGAATAATTGAGCTGATTATTGTAATATTACAATTCAGTTAACTCGATATTTTGGCGAGACACCGAATTTTCTAATAAGATTGTTTTCGAAACGTTGTTGAGCCGCAGGATGATTTACTATTATCCTAAATTAGGATTCCTAATAATTTAAACAAGGAAAATCATACGATAGACATGATCCCTTTTCTGATTAAATTTAAGAGATCGGATTAATGAAACAATCAATCATATTGTTAACGATGTTACCAAAATGGATCAATTTGATTCACTTTCAAGTGATTTAACTAATTATTGGTACGCTCTTCGTGATGCAGTTGATAATCCAGGAAACAATACCATTAGATTAATCCAATTGTGGTTATGTGGCCGAAACAGTTCACAATTATATGAAAATCTACCCGGTGGATCTGGAACTAGATTAGAGGAATTAGGTGAAGAGATGAGAGCTCATTTGATTCACAACCGACCATCAAATACAACAGATTATATTTAAGATAATGCAAAAGTTGAGTTGCTCCTAAAGATGAAAATGGGTTAAAATTAAACCACCTTAATAGTCCAAAAGGTTCTAATGGTTCTCTCAGCTCTTCTCAAAAAGAAGTCAACTCAATAATCATGAATTGACTGAATTCATTCATCGATATATTCCTAATGCTCAAATGATCGAAAAGGTTGGATCTGAATTAACTTATTTACTACCAACAAACTCTCAACAATCTGGGTGTGTTGGTGAAATCATCAATCCTGATGGTCCAATTTTCAGGATAACCTAATCATCTTAATCTTCGTCTAAACTAACTATCATTAACCACCTACCTAACTGATTAGCTACCTGTTGATTAATTGGATAATTCTGATTTCTTAATAGCTCTTATATCTTTATTTTCCATCCAGCGTCCGACAAACAAATTTATCACCGATATCGTTACCTAAGGAGCTGAATTAATCATTGTCAAAATTTGACAATCAAATTGTCAATGTGAATATCGGATATGCAATATCCAAGAAAAGTTCATTTTCTCCTTTCGAGATGTCGCTCAAAACGAAAATGAGACGACATCTATTGAGTAGAAAAAGAAAACATTGAAATATTATTTTCATTTTAATCTCTTTCATTATTATTAATGTTTACTATTCATCAATTAGTATTATTTTTTTGTTTACCAATCAATTCATGAGTATAATTGATCAATTTGGTCGATTTTGTCAAAAGTCCAAGGGATGTGTCGCTGATTTGTAAACCATTGACTCCGCTGATTTGATTGTGTCGGTCTTTTTTAAATTTGCTCTTCGGGTTGAATGTGAAAATGTTCTGGTGGAAACAACTTCGTTTACTTTTAATGAAAAATTATGTTTCTCATCGAAGACAAAAGGTATGAACAATTAACTTTAATTCTTGGTGATTGAATGTAAATTTAGATAATATACAATCTTAATGTTTCCGCATTTTCTACTGAGTAAAAATCTTTTTTTTTTGTTTATTTTCTTCTTCCAGTTGCGTGTTTTCATGGAGATATTATGGCCTCTTCTTTTGATGGTTATTCTTATGTGGGTTCGAACTCGTGGTCTTCGGACATTTGTTCACGAATGTCACTTTGACCACAAGGCTATGCCATCCGCAGGAATCGTTGAATTCATCAAAAGTACAATTTGTTCATTCAACAACACATGTAATCAACAAATCACCGATGGTAAATCAACATTACTCTCGGAACAAAGGTAAACATCATTACATTTATTCACCTGAATTCAGTTCAGATTCAAATGTTTCTTAATTGTTCACTTTTTCTCAAAATTTTCATCTAATTGTAGTTCTCAATTACTCTTTTTTTCAGATCATCAACACCTTTTGAGCAATTTGAAACCATTCTGAGAACTCGATTAACTAATGAGAATCTGAATAATTTCAAAGTCATCGATTCAGACTTGGAAACCTTGAGTCAATTAACAAAACTATTAACAAATCCAAAATCATCAATTCAAAGTAAATTGATTGTTTCTAAATCATTTCATTGATTAATTTCGAATATTTTCTTTTTTTTGTTGCTACAATTGATTTTAGATTCCGTTAGATTAAAAGATTTGCTGGATAAACCAATTGGTGACACTTTTGCAATGTACAATTTAACCAATGATGAAATTGATTTTCTCGATACTCTTACAATTAACTGGACAATCATCCCTCTCATGTTCAAATATCAAACATTTAATTTTTTCAATCTTCTCTGTGATGAAGATAAAGGTGTAGATGTTTCCAATCAAATATTTACATCCAACAATTTAGATCATGATCAAATGATTGAACAATTAAGAGAAAAACTCTGTGATAATTACAATTCCAATAGTACCTCATCTAGTGATAGTATTTCTAAGTCTTTTCAAGTTTTACAATTACTTAACAATCAAGCTCTTCTTCATGAGGTAATTAACTATCATCATCATCATCCTAATAATTTAAATCATTACTGTTAACTGTTTATTAATAACAATCACTTTTTCATTTGATAAACCAAATAGATTTCAACTATATCAAAATCATCAATTGGTCAGGATCTTCATGTTAAACAATTAACGGGAATCGGTGAAACAATCAATCATATTGTTAACGATGTTACCAAAATGGATCAATTTGATTCACTTTCAAGTGATTTAACTAATTATTGGTACGCTCTTCGTGATGCTGTTGATAATCCAGGAAACAATACCATTAGATTAATCCAATTGTGGTTATGTGGCCGAAACAGTTCACAATTATATGAAAATCTACCCGGTGGACCTGGAACTAGATTAGAGGAATTAGGTGAAGAGATGAGAGCTCATTTGATTCACAATCGACCATCAAATACAACGGATTATATTTATGATAATACAACAAGTAAGCCTAAAAAAAAATCTAATCAGATTAATTGATTTCAATTGTTGAATAATTATACTAATGTAATATTAACAATTGATTGCAAGTTCAGTTTAATCATGTGCATTTGAATCAAATTGATTATTGATTATAACCTTAAGCTCAACGCTATCGGATCATATTAATTGTTTTACTTTTTTTTGATCCTCCATCAATTTAACATTAATTATTACTAATATAATTATGATTGATAATTTATAAACTTTTTTTCTTGCATGATGATTATCATTAAATTGTGATTAAGTCTTAATTACACTTGATTCTAGTAGTTTATTTTTGATCGAATGTAACTTTTTCATTGGAAAAAGTTTTTTTCCCTTTTGTCAAGGTTGAATTAGTAATTCTATCAGTTACCTGTTTACCTGAACATAATTATTACTCTATTCCTAATGATGATTATTTAATATTTAAGTTCTTTTCCTCTCTCACTCTCTCTTTTCTTGATTAAGTGTATTTACCTTACATGTCCTTGTGAATTTCAACAGTTTAGATTGAATAAATCATTAGAATCAATTTTAATTTTATTCTGAATTGTTTTCATAATGTTGAGCGAAACAATTGTAATGATTGGTAATCTTTTTCTTGATTTCTTTCAGCTACTGAATGTAACTCACTTTTTCTTTCCCTGGAAAGTGGAAGTGTCACCAAAGTCCTTTGGCGACAATTTAAACCTTTCGTTCGCGGGAAGATAATTTACTCTCCTAATCGTGCCTCAATTAAACGAATTTTATCCAGAGTAAGAAAACAATCAACAGGTTGTTCCAATCATAATCATTCTAATTTATATTTTCTTTGTTTTTTAGGTTTTATATTATTTCCAACCGATTCAATTGTTTCATAATCTTTCAATCATATGGATTGATGAGATTGGTCCAAGACTAAATGAGAGTCTTAATGATGAATCTTCATTAATAAACAACATAACTGTAAGTCAATTGTTTCTCTCTCTCTCTCTCTCTCAATTTTTAATCTACTTTTGTATTAATACTATTTCTTTTTGTAATTAGAGATTAATCTTATCAAATGATATCCCATTTGCGACGGATTTAATTACTTCAAGGCTCGGTATTAACTCTACCGATGGTCGGGATAATGTCGTCTCATTATTGGGTCAGTTCAAGAACATTACCCAATTTATATCTACTGATGGTCCAACGATATTGCAAACAATTGACACTTTTCTGCGAAAACTCAAAATGTACATGGAATGTATCGAATTGGATAAATTGGAAGCATATGAAAGTGAAGATGAAATAGTTCGTCGTGGTGGAGAGTTGATGAGTGAGAACAAACTTTTTGCTGGATTAGTTTTCGAAAATTTCAATTCGACAACAAAAAGTTCTAATGATTCATCGAATGATATTGATGACGATGTGTTACCACCTTATGTACGGTACAAGATTCGTATGGATTCGAGCAAAGTTGATAGTACGAAGAAGATTGAAGATCGCATACCTACACCTGGTGCTCGACGCAGATCTCTCGTAGATCTAAAGTACATCACTTATGGTTTTGCTTTTCTTCAAGATCTCATCGAAAAATCAATCATTCGAGAGCACACAAATGTATCAACAGATACTGGTATTTATCTGCAGCAATTCCCGTATCCATGTCACATTTTTGATCAGTAAGTGAACTTTTATGCTTTCGTATTGAATTTTGAGCGTAATTTCTCTTATTTTTTTTTATCTGCAGGTTTGTAATGGCGATATCTCGTTCTTTCCCGATGTTCATGGTACTTTCATGGGTATATAATGCATCGATGATCATTAAAAGTATTGTCCATGAGAAAGAATTACGATTAAAAGAAGTGATGAAAGTAATGGGTCTAAGCAATAGTGTCCTCTGGTCATCGTGGTTCATTGAATCATTTTCGTTCTTTACCTTGAGTTCATTTCTCTTGGTACTGATTCTTCATTATGGAAAAGTTTTAATCTACAGCGATCCATTTATTGTGTATATATTTTTAATCCTCTATTCGATATCTGTGATCACTTCATGTTTTACAATTAGCACTCTTTTTGGAAAGGCCAATATGGCCGCTGCTGGGGGTGGTATGATCTTCTTTATGACTTATCTTCCATATACATTTTTAATTCTTTGGGAGGAACTACTATTTCCGTACGAAAAAGCGATCGGGTGTCTCTTTCCTAATGTAGCCTTTGGATTTGGATGTAGTTACTTGGCTCATTTTGAAGAGGAAGGTGTTGGTATCCAATGGTCAAATATCGGGTCAAGTCCAATAGCGAATGACAATTTCAACATGTTGTATGTTTTTAGCATGTTAATTGTTGATTCATTTTAAACATTCTGATGACAGTTTATATTGAGGCTGTTTTTCCTGGTAAATTATTGCTTAGATGATTTTAATTCTAATCAATGTGATTAACTGTTTCATGTTTTATTCATTTAGGTCAATTTGGTGTTCCGAAGCCATTTTATTTTTTTCTTATGCCTTCATATTGGTGTGAAAACAAAAAGACAATTCTCAAAGATGAACGTTTACTGACCGATAAAAATGGTAATGATTCTTGATGAGCATTTAAGTCTTGAAGATTTCTAAAGATTTCTGTTCATTTCTTTTTCAGAGAAAAATGTATTTATAGAAGAAGAACCTAAAGATCTTAAACTTGGAATCTCAATTTCTAAACTATCAAAAGTTTATTCCGGTGGTAAAATCGCTGTTGATAATTTAAGTTTAAATTTCTACGAAGGACAAATAACAAGTTTCCTTGGTCACAATGGAGCGGGAAAAACAACCACAATCTCAATTCTAACAGGTCTCTTTCCACCCACCTCGGGAACTGCTTGGATCTATGGACACGATATAACAACAGAAATGGACACAATCCGTCATAGTCTTGGAACTTGTCCCCAATATAATGTTCTATTTGGCCATTTAACTGTAGCAGAGCATCTTTGGTTTTATGCTTCGTTAAAAGGAGCAGGACCTGAAGTGCAGAAAGAAATTGATGTTCTGATCGATGATCTCGGTCTCTCACATAAACGAGATGAATTTTCGACCAATTTATCTGGAGGAATGCAAAGGAAACTCTCAATCGCCATTGCGTTTGTTGGAGGCTCTAGAACTGTGATACTCGACGAACCAACTGCCGGAGTCGATCCTTACTCACGACGATCTATTTGGGAACTTTTGATAAAATATAAAGCGGGAAGAACAGTGATCTTAACGTGAGTATTTACTTCCATTAGATGTACTAATTATCTCAATCTAATCTAACCATTATTACGTTATTATTTCGTGAATAGAACTCATCATATGGATGAAGCCGATCTACTTGGTGATCGAATTGCTGTTATTGGTAATGGTAAATTACGATGTATTGGATCATCATTATTCTTAAAATCGAAATTCGGAAGTGGTTATTATTTGACTTTTGTCACTAAATCAAATTCCAACCCAAAGCTAATACAAGAAAACTCTTCACCTAATCCACAACTAAAAGACAATTCTCTAGTCAAAGAAAGCAATAATCTCGTTGTCCCTAAAGAAGAAACAAGACTAAATCATAGTAGTCCAAAAGGTTCAAATGATTCTCTCAGCTCTTCTCAAAAAGAAGTCAACTCAATAATCACTGAATTGACTGAATTCATTCAGCGATATATTCCTAATGCTCAAATGATCGAAAAGGTTGGATCTGAATTAACTTATCTACTGCCAACAAACTCTCAAGAATCTGGATCATTACGAAATTTACTTCGCGAATTAGACGATAAACTTGAGAATTTAAATGTTTTGAGCTATGGAATCTCAGACACCCCGTTAGAAGAAGTGTTTCTTCGTGTTACAGGGACACTTGAAGAAGATCTTAAAAAGTCAAGCTCTTTAGAAGAAGCGGTGGAAAGTCTCACTGATGGAGGAAGATATCCATCAAGGCTTAGATTAAATAGCTCATTTTGTAACAACTTAGCTCGAATATTCCAGCCTTCGCGATACATGAGTACTTCAAATGGGCGGAATAGAAACGATAAACTAGACGAACACATTCCAGGTCGTGATGAATGTAATATTCCGATGAAAGATCTTAAACCACCTGAGAAAAATCCACTTACAAGTTATCGAATTCAGGGTTGGGATCTTAAGAAGAGACAATTTTGGGCATTGCAAAGAAAAAGATTCCATCATACTCGCCGAAATTATCGATCTTTACTCTGTGAGGTGAGTAATTAAATTGATGGTTCGAACTGCAGATTAATTGAATCCATTGTTATCTTCTCTCTTAAAGATCGTTCTTCCTGCTCTCTTGATATGTGTCGCTATGTTGTTCACTTTAATTGTACCTCCAATTATGGAGGAGCCACAATTGGAACTGAAACCTTGGTTATATGGTCCACCGAATTATATTTTCTTCAATGATGATTCGTTAGGAAAACAACCTGTTGTTAGAAAGTATATCGATGAACTGACTGGTGATCCAGGAATCGGAACGAAATGTGTCCAAGGAATACCAGAAAAATATCGTAAACTCAAACCTCAGTAAGTTTAATTTGCTACTTTTAACTCCGTTAACCTGATCTAATCGTTTACTTTATTTTTAGATTATACGCATTTTCATCAGTCAAACGATCTCAATGGTCTGAAAGTTGCGATGCTGAGGTTACAGATCGTAATTTGACTTCACCCTACAACTTAACTGTAGTTAATCAATACCAAGAATGCGATTGCTCTTCAGGAACACAAGAATGTCCTGAACCAGTGATTGGATTCGAACCACCTTCAACTCCAATCATCTCAGGAGATATTCTTTACAATGCCACAGGACGAAACATCTCTGATTGGTTAGTGAAAACAAGTAAACAGTATTACAAGAAAAGGTAATTAGAGATTCTTGCATATAAATAATCCTAGAACAAAAATTTAATCATAATAATAATAAACTCTCTTTTCGGATTTCTTAGATATGGTGGTTATTCCTTTGGTTACAGTAGTTCAATAGGTTCATTCAATTATACTTCCATTGAGAGATTATTTTTTTACCTTCTTGATTTGGCCCAAGTAAAAGATAACCGAGAAAATATCGAGCGTACAATCACTAACTTGACCTCTATCCTCGAGCGAGCCGAGCTTTGGAACAATGTTAAGGTCTGGTTTAATAACAAGGGTTGGGCTGCTTCGGTTTCGTATTTGAATGCGATCAACAATGTGATTCTAAGAGCAAATTTACCAGAAAATGTAGATAAACGATATTATGGGATAACGGTGATTAATCATCCAATGAACTTCACCAAAGATCAATTGAGAGATGAAATGTTTCGACGTGGTGGTCTTTCTCTTTTACATTCCATTGCCGTTCTTTTTGCGATGTCCTTCGTACCAGCGAGTTTTGTTCTCTACTTGATTGAAGATCGAATCAGCGGATCGAAGCATCTTCAGTTCGTGAGCGGTGTCAATCCAAATGTCTATTGGATTTCCACCTTCATTTGGGATATGGTAAGAAAAGAATACTTCAATTACTGTAACTCTACAAAAGATCCAGACATGAAATAATATTCTAATTAATTTTCTGTTCATTTATCCAGGTGAATTATTTGATTCCAACGTTTCTCTGTTTGATAATCTTCATAGCATTCAATGCAGAAGCTTATATAAAATCTCCAAATATCTATGCGTTTATTACTCTTCTAATTCTCTATGGGTAATTATCCATCACTCAATGTGATCAACAATCTTTTGAACCTTTAATGTACTAATAATAATTCTGTTTCAGGTTCGCTTCAATTCCACTCATGTATCCGACTGTATATCTTTTCAAAGTACCAAGTTCAGCTTTCGTTGTTTTATCTTCGATTAATCTTTTCATTGGCACTGTCAGTACGGTTGCTACGTTCGTACTCGAACTTTTTGACGATGATGTAAGTTTTGGTTTCTACGAAAATCAACAAGTGGTTTTTTTCTAATTATTTTTTCATCCATTTAATATCTAATAGGAACTTCAGCTAATTGGTAACAAGTTGAAAGTAGTCTTTCTTATTTTCCCTCAATACTGTTTGGGACGAGGACTTCTCGAAATGTCCGCTAACCACTTGGCTTCTCGTGCATTCGCTAAATTTGGTGTATCGTTTGAAAAGAATCCTTTTGAATTCAGTTACATTGGGCGTAATATGTTGGCTCTTTTCATCCAAGGAATCATATTTTTCGCATTGATTCTGTGGTTTGAATCTGGAATTCTGTCCTGGAGAATGAGGTAAGATTTCAAAGACGATTAGCTTGGGAAAAATTAACGTTAACTTTGTTTTAAATGATTAGAAAACCAAAAGCACCGAATGTGGATGATGATGAGGAAGACGACGACGTTGCTAGTGAGAGGGAACGCATACTTGGAGGCTTTGCATCAGAATATCCTCTTCGATTGGAAAATTTAACTAAAATTTATCAAGATGGACAAATTCCAGCGGTAAATAAGCTTTGGATGTCCGTTGCTCCGGGCGAGTGTTTTGGTCTATTGGGTGTCAATGGTGCAGGGAAAACATCCACGTTTAAAATGTTGACCGGAGAAATAAAGATCTCATCGGGTGAGGCTTTTATCGCTGGATTCAGGGTGAAAAATGAATTGACCAAAGCTCGTCAACATATCGGTTATTGTCCACAATTTGACGCTCTTGATCCTTTTCTAACTGGCTGGGAACATCTTGAACTTTATTCTAGATTAAGAGGAATCCCAGAAGAAAAGATTAAAAAAGTAGTTCGTTGGTCCATCAAGAAACTTGGACTCTACGAATACAGTAATGTTGTTGCTGGTTCATATTCGGGAGGGAATAAGAGGAAATTGTCCACTGCAATTGCTCTGGTTGGTCAACCATCAGTTGTTTTCCTCGATGAACCAACAACCGGAATGGATCCGAAGGCCCGACGCTTCCTTTGGAATTGTATAATCGACATTGTAAAAGATAAATGTGCCGTCGTGTTAACTTCTCATTCCATGTAAGTTATTAATCGTTGATTGTTTATTGTTGATTGATTCTTTTTCCTTATTTTCCTTTTTTTCCTTTGAATCTAATTGTGATTTGTATTGATTGATTAATCTACAGGGAGGAATGTGAAGCTCTTTGTACTCGATTGGCTGTAATGGTGAACGGACGATTCCGATGTTTAGGTAGCACTCAACATTTAAAGAATAAATTTGGTGAAGGTTATATGGTAACTCTTCGAGTGGGTCGAGGGGAGGAATGCAAAGGAGCAGCTCAATCGTTCATTGATGGTGCTTTCGGTGGTGAAGCTTCATTGAAGGAAGTTCATCTCAATCAAATGGAATATCAAATTGGATCAAAGATTAGAATCTCATCCATTTTCTCTGAACTCGAAAAGTCAAAGAATCTCGGAATAGTCAGTGATTATTCAGTTACTCAAACAACATTAGATCAAGTGTTTATCCGATTTGCTCGAAATCAAAAAGATCAAGTGAAACAATCAAAATCTCAATCAATCTAATTTATTTAAAACTCAATCATATTTTCAATTTACTTTGTAATCAATAAAACTTTTCGTTATTTTATCTTACAAGTTGTTATTCTAAATCAACTCATTCATCAAACTTTTCATTTAATTTCGTCTCTGCGTCTTGTTGATTCTAATCAACAGAAATGACTTCAAGTCAACAATTAAGGATAATGAAAAGGATAGAAAAGAAAGAGAGAATGAGAGAGAGAAAAATTAAAAGAAAGAAGAGAGAAAGAGACTTTAAAATCCTTTTCATTTTCTTTCTCAAAAATCAAAATTCATTACTTAGGATTTTCTAGCACTTGAAGATCTCGGCCTTTGCCTATTAGATGGCGTTTCTAACGATAATAATAAACTCGGAATTTAATCTTGTAGATTATTCTAATCAAAATGAGAATAACAATCATGTTGTTTCCATACGAGCTAATCAATCTGATTGATTATAATCAAGGCGAGTAATAAACCGATTGATTCATTTATGCTTATTAATTACTGTGACTACCTGTTTGATTCACTTTTTAACTGTTTAGATGATGAATCTTAACGTGATGATCTGGTGGAAACAACTTCGTTTATTGTTAATTAAAAATTATATTTCTCATAAAAGACAAAAGGTAAATCTAATTACGGTTCTAGATTATTGATTTAGTTTTTTTTTCTCCGAGTTAATCTAATCATATTATTCCTTGCATACGATTCAGTTTCGCTTGATCGTTGAGATAATATGGCCGCTCCTTTTGATGAGCATTCTAGTGTGGACACGAACTCGTGGTCTTCGTTATTTTGTTCCTGAATGTCACTTTGATCAAAAGGCGATGCCATCCACTGGAATGGTTGAATTCATTAAAAGTACAGTTTGTTCATTCAACAATAGGTGTAATCGACAGGTTGCCCATGAAAAATCACCACCGCTTTCAGAATTAAGGTAAATATTTACATGAGAAAATTCAACTTGAGCTTTTCAAGATAATCAAATGGAAAACAATAATTACCTTTATCAGTATCACCATGGAACCTTATCAAGGCTCAAGGTGGTTATCGTTAGTGTATCAATTCAAATTTACCTTAAAAAGAAATGAGTTCCTAATGAGTTAGATTTCCGTCATATTTCAGATTATCAACCGACCATTCGAAGTTGGACCAATTGGAAACTATTCTTAGAACTCGATTGACTGATGAGGATCTAAGTAATTTCAAAGAACCAGATTTACAAATGATAAGTAAAATGGTTAACATTGCGAACGATGTCAGCAAAATAGATCAATTTGAGTCACTTTCAAGCGACTTAGCTAATTATTGGCCTGATTTTCGTGATGCTGTTGATGATTCAGATGCAAATGTTATGAAATTTATACAATTATGGTTATGTGGCCGCGATGACACTTCGCAATTACTTAAACAACAGACTGATGATTCGGAAGTACAATTAGATGGATTTGGTGACGAGATGAAAGACCAAATTATTCACAATCGAAAGTCAAGTGCAACCGATTACATTTATGACAATACAACAAGTGAGTCGATACAAGAATAATTCCATCATTTCTAAGAACTGAATCAAATATGGAGTTTTACAACTTTCTGATCAACTTTTTTAGCTCCTGAATGTAATTCACTTTTTCTGTCACTGGAAAGTGGAAAAATTACCACTAAAGTCATTTGGCGACAACTTAAACCTCTCGTTCGCGGGAAGATAATTTACTCTCCTAATCGTGCCTCAATTAAACGAATTTTATCCAGAGTAAGAAAACAATCAACAGGTTGTTCCAATCATAATCATTCTAATTTATATTTTCTTTGTTTTTTAGGTTTTATATTATTTCCAACCGATTCAATTGTTTCATAATCTTTCAATCATATGGATTGATGAGATTGGTCCAAGACTAAATGAGAGTCTTAATGATGAATCTTCATTAATAAACAACATAACTGTAAGTCTATTGTTTCTCTCTCTCTCTCTCTCTCTCTCAATTTTTAATCTACTTTTGTATTAATACTATTTCTTTTTGTAATTAGAGATTAATCTTATCAAATGATATCCCATTTGCAACGGATTTAATTACTTCAAGGCTCGGTATTAACTCTGCTGATGATCGGGATAATGTCGTCTCGTTATTAGGCCAATTCAAGAACATTACCCAATTTATATCTACTGATGGTCCATCGATATTGCAAACAATTGACACTTTTCTGCGAAAACTCAAAATGTACACGGAATGTATCGAATTGGATAAATTGGAAGCATATGAAAGTGAAGATGAAATGGTTCGTCGTGGTGGAGAGTTGATGAGTGAGAACAAACTTTTTGCTGGATTAGTTTTCGAAAATTTCAATTTAACAACAAAAAGTTCTAATGATTCATCGAATGATATTGATGATGATGTGTTACCACCTTATGTACGATACAAGATTCGTATGGATTCGAGCAAAGTTGATAGTACGAAAAAGATTGAAGATCGCATATCAACTTCTAGTCCGCGTCGTAGACCTTTGATCGATCTAAAATATATCACCTTTGGTTTTGCTTTTCTTCAAGATCTCATCGAAAAATCAATCATTCGAGAGCACACAAATGTATCAATAGATACTGGTATTTATCTGCAGCAATTTCCGAACCCTTGTTACACATCTGATCAGTAAGTTGGAGGTTCTACTGAATTTAACTCGAACTAATTGTTGCTAATTAATATTTTAATAGGTTCATCATGGCGATATCCCGTTCTTTCCCATTGTTCATGGTGCTCTCTTGGATTTACAATGCGTCGATGGTAATTAAAAGTATCGTTCACGAGAAAGAATTACGATTAAAAGAAGTGATGAAAGTAATGGGTCTAAGCAATAGTGTCCTCTGGTCATCGTGGTTCATTGAATCATTCTCGTTCTTTACCTTGAGTTCATTTCTCTTGGTACTGATTCTTCATTTCGGAAAAGTTTTAACCTACAGCGATCCATTTATTGTTTATATATTTTTAATCCTCTATTCAATATCTGTGATCACTTCATGTTTTACAATTAGTACTCTTTTTGGAAAGGCCAATGTGGCCGCTGCTGGGGGTGGGATGATCTTCTTTATGTCTTATCTTCCATATACATTTCTTATTCTTTGGGAGGAACTACTATTTTCGTACGAAAAAGCTATCGGGTGTCTCTTTCCTAATGTAGCCTTTGGATTCGGATGTAGTTACTTGGCTCATTTTGAAGAGGAAGGTGTTGGTATCCAATGGTCAAATATCGGGTCAAGTCCAATAGAGAGTGACAATTTCAACATGTTGTATGTTTTCAGCATGTTAATTGTTGATTCATTTTTAAATATTCTAGTAACAGTTTATATTGAGGCTGTTTTTCCAGGTATACTATTTGTTGCACTAATTTACAACCACTAACGGTAATATTTGTATCTTCCATTCAGGTCAATTTGGCGTTCCGAAGCCTTTTTATTTCTTTCTAACACCTTCTTATTGGGGTAAAAACAGAGATCCAATCCTGAAAGGTGCTTCTTCCCTTGCCGATGAAAATGGTAACGATTTTAGTCAATTTTCGACCTCGAATGTTTGTCGGTTCTTAGCATTAATAGTAAATCATGTATTTTCTTTTTCCGTAGAGAAAAGTGCTTATATTGAAGAAGAACCTAAAGATCTTAAACTTGGAATCTCAATTTCGAAATTATCAAAAGTTTATTCCGGTGGTAAAGTCGCTGTTGATAATTTAAGTTTAAATTTCTACGAAGGACAAATAACAAGTTTCCTTGGTCACAATGGAGCGGGAAAAACGACCACAATATCAATTCTAACAGGTCTTTTTCCACCCACTTCGGGAACTGCTTGGATCTATGGACACGATATAACAACAGAAATGGACACAATCCGTCATAGTCTTGGAACTTGTCCCCAATATAATGTTCTATTTGGCCATTTAACTGTAGCAGAGCATCTTTGGTTTTATGCTTCGTTAAAAGGAGCAGGGCCTGAAGTGCAGAAAGAGATTGATGTTCTGATCGACGATCTCGGTCTCTCACATAAACGAGATGAATTTTCGACCAATTTATCTGGAGGAATGCAAAGGAAACTCTCAATCGCCATTGCGTTTGTCGGAGGCTCTAGAACTGTGATACTCGACGAACCAACTGCCGGAGTCGATCCTTACTCACGACGATCTATTTGGGAACTTTTGATAAAATACAAAGCGGGAAGAACAGTGATCTTAACGTGAGTATTTACTTCAATCTGATGTACTAATTATCTCAATCTAATCTAATTATAATTTCGTTATTATTTCGTGAATAGAACTCATCATATGGATGAAGCCGATCTACTTGGTGATCGAATTGCTGTTATTGGTAATGGTAAATTACGATGTGTTGGATCGTCGTTATTCTTAAAATCGAAATTCGGAAGTGGTTATTATTTGACTTTTGTCACTAAATCAAATTCAAATTCACTACAATTATCTCAACAAAAATCACTGGATAGCAACAAGCGAGTTATTTCTAAAGATGAAAATGGGTTAAAATTAAACCACCGTAATAGTTTAAAAAGTTCTAATGGTTCTCTCAGCTCTTCTAAAAAAGAAGTCAACTCAATAATCACTGAATTGACTGAATTCATTCAGCGATATATTCCTAATGCTCAAATGATCGAAAAGGTTGGATCTGAATTAACTTATCTACTACCAACAAACTCTCAAGAATCTGGATCATTACGAAATTTACTTCGCGAATTAGACGATAAACTTGAGAATTTAAATGTTTTGAGCTATGGAATCTCAGACACCCCGTTAGAAGAAGTGTTTCTTCGTGTTACAGGGACACTTGAAGAAGATCTTAAAAAGTCAAGCTCTTTAGAAGAAGCGGTGGAAAGTCTCACTGATGGAGGAAGATATCCTTCTTTGCTTCGATTGAATCGTCTCCTTTGTACTAACTTATTTCGCAGTTGCAAGTCTCCAAGAAACATTTTGAATCGCGATAAATCACGAGAGAAAATTGATTACGTTGATATTCCAGGACGAAACGATTGTAATATTCCGATGAAAGATCTTAAACCACCTGAGAAAAATCCACTTACAAGTTATCGAATTCAGGGTTGGGATCTTAAGAAGAGACAATTTTGGGCATTGCAAAGAAAAAGGTTCCATCATACTCGCCGAAATTATCGATCTTTACTCTGTGAGGTGAGTAATTAAATTGATGGTTCGAACTGCAGATAAATTGAATCCATTGTTATCTTCTCTCTTAAAGATCGTTCTTCCTGCTCTCTTGATATGTGTCGCTATGTTGGCCACCTTAATTGTACCGCCAATTATGGAGGAGCCACAGTTGGAACTGAAACCTTGGTTATATGGTCCACCGAATTATATTTTCTTCAATGATGATTCGTTAGGAAAACAACCTGTTAGAAAGTATATTGATGAATTGACTGGTGATCCAGGAATCGGAACTAAATGTGTCCAAGGAATACCAGAAGAATATCGTAAACTAAAACCTCAGTGAGTTTAATAATAATATTTTGATAATTGATTTGAGTTCTGGTAATCTGATTATTGATCAATTTATTTTAGATTTAATTCATTCACGCCAGTCAAACGATCTCAATGGTCTGAAAGTTGCGATACTGAGGTTACAGATCGTAATTTGACTTCACCCTACAACTTAACTGTAGTTAATCAATACCAAGAATGTGATTGCTCTTCGGGAACACAAGAATGTCCTGAACCTGTGATTGGATTCGAACCACCTTCAACTCCAATCATCTCAGGAGATATTCTTTACAATGCCACAGGACGAAACATCTCTGATTGGTTAGTGAAAACAAGTAAACAGTATTACAAGAAAAGGTAATTAGAGATTCTTATATAAATAATCCAAGAACAAAAATTTAATCATAATTATAATCAACTCTTTTTTTGGTGATTCTTAGATATGGTGGTTATTCATTTGGTTACAGTAGTTCCATAGGTTCATTCAATTATACTTCCATTGAGAGATTATTTTTTTACCTTCTTGATTTGGCCCAAGTAACAGATAACCGAGAAAATATCGAGCGTACAATCACTAACTTGACCTCTACCCTCGAGCGAGCCGAGCTTTGGAACAATGTTAAGGTTTGGTTTAATAACAAGGGTTGGGCCGCTTCGGTTTCGTATTTGAATGCGATCAACAATGTGATTCTTAGAGCAAATTTACCAGAAAATGTAGATAAACGATTTTATGGAATAACGGTGATTAATCATCCAATGAACTTCACCAAGAATCAATTGCAGTTCGAAATAGGTGATCAGGCTCGTATTCCACTTTTACATGCAATCACAATTTTATTCGCAATGTCATTTGTACCAGCGAGTTTTGTTCTCTACTTGATTGAGGATCGAGCCAGTGGATCGAAGCATCTTCAGTTCGTGAGTGGTGTCAATCCAAATGTCTATTGGATTTCCACCTTCATTTGGGATATGGTAAGAAAAGAATACTATTAATTGTTTAAATGATTAACCATCATTCTAATCATTTTCGTTTCGTATTTTCAGCTTAACTATTTGATCACAACGTTTCTCTGTCTACTTATCTTCATAGCATTTAATGCAGAAGCTTATATTAAATTCCCAAATATCTATGCGTTCATTTTTCTTCTAATTCTCTATGGGTAAATATTCAGAACTCTATACAGCCATCGACTTTGAGTTTGCAACCACTTTTAATTTACTCGCGACGATAATGATAATCAATGAGAGATTAAGTTAACCCAAAGATATGATAATAATCAATGTCTTCTCATTTAATTGGTGTTATCTTTTCAAATGGATTTAGATTTATCTTTGACTGATTATCATTAATTGCGCGAGTAAATTAAAAGTGGTTGCAAACTCAAAGTCGATGGCTGTATAAGATTAATCATATTATCTGCATTTCTATTGTACTAATAATAATTCTGTTTCAGATTCGCTTCAATTCCACTCATGTATCCGACTATTTATCTTTTTCAAGTACCAAGTTCAGCTTTCGTTGTTTTATCTTCGATCAATCTTTTTGTTGGAACTTTTACCACGATTTCTACATTTGTTCTTCAATCATTCGACGACGAAGTAAGTTCGTAGTACTACAACCTATTGCCAAAATATCTTTTGTACCAAAACAAAGAAAATTTTGGCGTTTGACCTTCAATAGTGTTGAATCAATAGATCTAGAGTTTAGCGTTCTTGAACTTGTTGATCTAATCGAACTGTGAATTTGTGATTCATCATTTTAATCATAGTTAATCATTGTTTAACTTTCAATAGAAACTTCAAAGTATTGGAAATATTTTACAAAAAGTTTTTCTGATTTTTCCTCAATACTGTTTGGGACGAGGCTACTCGATATGTCCGCTAATCATGTGGCAGGTCAAACCTTTGCTCAGTTCGGTGTATCATATGAAAAGAATCCATTTGAGTTCACCTTCGTTGGCCGTAATATGTTAGCTCTTTTTATCGAAGGAATCATATTTTTAAAGATAGTTCTATGGGTCGAATCGGGAGCTGTTATGAGGAGAGCAAAGTAATTGTCTATTTCTAAGTCAATGAATTTGATTTCCATGGCTTTTAGCTCATTTAACACTTGTTTTGCTCTGTTTTTGATATATAGAAATTGAATCCACTTATGTAGATCAGGATGAAGATGGCGATGTTGCAGCTGAAAGACAATGGATTATGTCCGGCAATGCCAAACAAGCGGCTATTCGCGTAGAAAATTTAACGAAGATCTTCAAGAATAGACGGATTCCCGCGGTAAATAAGCTTTGGATGTCCGTTGCTCCGGGCGAGTGTTTTGGTCTATTGGGTGTCAATGGTGCAGGGAAAACATCCACGTTTAAAATGTTGACCGGAGAAATAAAGATCTCATCGGGTGAGGCTTTTATCGCTGGATTCAGGGTGAAAAATGAATTGACCAAAGCTCGTCAACATATCGGTTATTGTCCACAATTTGACGCTCTTGATCCTTTTCTAACTGGTTGGGAACATCTTGAACTTTATTCTAGATTACGAGGAATCCCGGAAGAAAAGATTAAAAAAGTAGTTCGTTGGTCCATCAAGAAACTTGGACTCTACGAATACAGTAATGTTGTTGCTGGTTCATATTCGGGAGGGAATAAGAGGAAATTGTCCACTGCAATTGCTCTGGTTGGTCAACCATCAGTTGTTTTCCTCGATGAACCAACAACCGGAATGGATCCGAAGGCTCGACGTTTCCTTTGGAATTGTATAATCGACATTGTAAAAGATAAATGTGCCGTCGTGTTAACTTCTCATTCCATGTAAGTTACTGATCGTTGATTGTTTATTGTTGATTGATTCTTTTTCCTTGTTTTCCTTTTTTTCCTTTGAATCTAATTGTGATTTGTATTGATTAATCTACAGGGAGGAATGTGAAGCTCTTTGTACTCGATTGGCTGTAATGGTGAACGGACGATTCCGATGTTTAGGTAGCACTCAACATTTAAAGAATAAATTTGGTGAAGGTTATATGGTAACTCTTCGAGTGGGTCGAGGGGAGGAATGCAAGGGAGCAGCTCAATCGTTCATTGATGGTGCTTTCGGTGGTGAAGCTTCATTGAAGGAAGTTCATCTCAATCAAATGGAATATCAAATTGGATCAAAGATTAGAATCTCATCCATTTTCTCTGAACTCGAAAAGTCAAAGAATCTCGGAATAGTCAGCGATTATTCAGTTACTCAAACAACATTAGATCAAGTTTTTATCCGATTTGCTCGAAATCAAAAAGATCAAGTGAAACAATCAAAATCTCAATCAATCTAATTTATTTAAAACTCATCATATTTTCAATTTATTTTAACAATAAACATTCATTCTATGCAACGAGTTTTACATCTGACATTCAGTATTCTCTTTTATTTAGTAATTAGAATTCATTAAAACCAAAATCATTCCTAATTGGATCATACAAAGGCTTGGATATTATCTTTGGTGAATTTGGAAGACCTAATCAAGAGAGAGAGAGAGACAAAAGTTCATTATAAAAATTATTCTTACAAATTTCATTAATTCTTGATTAATTTACCATAATTATTGATTCCAAACTCAGCTAGGAACCCGTTCCCTCTGTTGTCCGATGAAGTGACCATTTTGATTCTCAATGAGCTTCCCCTAGAAATATAAGTCGCTGGTATTTCCTGAAACGAAAAAAAGGGACAATATTAATAGAAAAATATTCTACAGTTGATCTCTAATAAAAGTCATACCGAACCACAATAACGACCAACGAGTGAATTATCATAAATCTCAACAAAATTCGAAGTGCATCCAGGTAAAGATGTAAAATCGAAAGTTACAAATCGAAAGGTAATTGAATGAATACCATAATTGAATATATTCCACGTGCACTCGGTAGCATTTGAAAAAGATTTCGGATACAATGGTGAAGTGAAAGTCCCGTTAAATGCTCTTATATTACCACCACATCCTGGGCCTGCATTTGTCGTCGTATAAATCATAACATATCTGTACCGTTCGGTACTAAGTACCACCGATAAATTAGATGTCAATGAAAAAATGGGCTCGGGAATCATCTTGGTACAAATTGGTAGCGATTTGTAAACCGAGTCTCCATCTTTTACCATTAATTTAGTTGAATTGCCACAATTACCCATATTTAAATAATTAGAGAGGAAACTTGCATCATGAAAGTAAATCGATATCGTGTATCCAGGCTGAGCTCTGATGGTAAAGTTACACGTTACGTTAAGTTGAGTAACGTAAGGATATCTGACATTGGTAATTAAACCCGATTCCTCTGTGTATACGCCATCACAACCCGATTGCCGATAGTTCAAAGAGAAACCTCGATGTTTCGTTTTATTGGGAGATCGTGAATTAAATATAATCACAATGTCCTCAAATCCAAAGTGTATCGGTGGAGGTGTCACAGAGCCGCAGATACGAACTGGTTCCCGATAAAGTGAATTACCGGTGATCTCAAGTAGATCCTTTGAGTTACAATCTAAATCGACATCAACGAAATCAATTCGAGTAACGGATCCTTCGAAACGATTTGGAAATACCCAACGACACCTTGTTGTTGGTGGATAAGCATTCGGATAGTTGGGTGATGAAATAATTACATCATTTTGATAATCAATTTGACCACCACAAGTATTATTTACAGTTCTATAAGACAATTTGAATCCTGCTCCATTGATGTCAGAATTTGTATGAAAATAAAGATAAACTTTCGATGATGTTGTAATAATCTTTGATGGTAATTCCGATGAACAGAAATGGTCAATCAATGGACTTGAATACGAAAGTCCATCTCGTATCTCTAGGTAATCATTTGAACAAACTATTCTCGGTGATAATGAACTTGCCTCAATATCCATCAAGCTAAATGTTATCTCGATAACATCATTCTCACCATCAGATATAATCATCCAATTGCAGTCTAAATTATTCTCATATCTACCATCCTGATCAATATCAGGTGATTGTATTGTTCCCGTTGTGCTATTTAATAAACCACCACATCCCATTGGGAGTCCTGGGGTAATGTCCCATGAAGCCGTGAATCCAGTGCTGGAAAGATATTCATCAGAATGAAAAACCACCAGCATTTCATTATTTGTTGATCTAATTTTCATCGGCTCGTGTGTACCACAGATACGAAGCACCAAATGATCAGTTCTATTAGGTCCATCTCGAATTTCAAGATAGTCCAGTTCATTACTTTCAAATACTTGGTATGAAGGATAACAAAGTTCACTATTGTAAAGCGAGAAACTGTTCAACTCTAATGAGATTGAATAGTTTTCAGGTCCTCGAATTAAGTAACTACAATCAACCCCTGGAGCATAATTACCATCAATATTTGGACTTGATATTTCACCAATTGAACTATTGAATTCACCTCCACATGGGATTATCTGATAGCTAAGAGTGAATCCTTTTAATGAATGAATCCCGTCCGAGTTAAAGATTATCAATGAATTTCCTCGAACTGTTATCTTATCCGGTTTATCTTTACCACAGAATCTACCAATTACATCTGATCGAGTTGTTAAATTACCTTTGATTATCATAACATAATCAAATACACAAGCTGGATTGGGTTCAAGATCAAACTCATCAAAGGTCAAAGTGATAATGTCCGTTGGTCTTTGTCCTTTCAAAGTCCATTCACAATGCGTGTTATCATGATAAGTTGGGAAACCGGGAGTTCTTATGATACCAGAACCTAGTTTATCAATTGTGTATCCACACTGTTTAGTTACAATCAGATAGAATCCATCACCACGACGATCATCATCATCACTATGGAAAATGACTTGACCTTTATTTCCCGAAAGGATGATTGATTTTGGAGCAGTTAAACCACAATATTTACCCTTTGACCTCCAATCATTATCTGACCATTCCTTAATTTCAACAAAATCTTTAGTACAATTCACCGATTGTTCAATATCAAAACGATTGATAAATGTCAGATTTACACGATAATCCTCGTTTAGTTCAATATTCCATATGCACTCAATATTATTCGGATAAACATCAGGGTATCTTTTACTGTAGATTGGACCACCCTTTACAGCTCCACCACAAACTCTTCGATAGTTTGATAATTGGAAATTAAAACCTTTTCCATTACCAATGCCATCGCTTTTGAAAAGGATAACGATTCGACTTCCGGATGATGTATAAGGTGGAGGCATATTGTTGGCACAATATCGACCAACTAAAGCTGAATCATAGAATGGACCTTCACGAATTTCAAGATAATCTTTAGAACAATCTGATTCCAATTCGAATGAGGTAAAATTGACCTGAATAGATTGACCCCAAATACTGAAAAATTCCCACAAGCAGGTTGTATTGACGGGATAGTTAGCAGGCCATCCAGGTGAACTAAAGTTCCCGTTAATATAATACATGAGTCCACCACAGTCACTGCTACGATAAGTTGCTTTCAACCCACGATAACCTCGAGTACGATTGATTCGAGCAGTTAAACCCAATGGAGATACTGACTGAGATATTATCGAAACATGATTAGTTTTATTTCCACAGATTATATCAGTTATTGTATTTCGTTTATCTATTAGAAGTGAAAAAGAAAAACAATCAAATTAGTTGATCTGTTGATCAAAATTTTCTCAACCAGTTTACCTCTTATAGAGCCTTGGGTGATTCTAGCGTTAGAACAATATTCATCGTTAGTATCTGATCCTAGAATCTCAATTTTCTCATATTCTATCCAGCGTGTTTTTCCTAAACCCTGTTCAAACGGATCATCAACCTTCCAGATACAATTGATCAAAGTATCGTCGATCGGGTTGGAAAAGTTGGTCGATACAATCGCTGGTGAATCTTTGGTCACAATTCCTCCACATTCTGTTGAAATAATAGAAATTTAGAAATACAATAGATAAGTTAGACTTCAAATACTTTAAATCTCGAACTTCGAGACTCAAGATTATAAAGATAACCTCTGAAGGTCAAACAGTTCTGTAGATATTAGTGGGAATGCTATATGTAAAGATGAATAAGTTACCTGTTGGTTCACTGGCAAAGTAATTGACTGCAAATCCCTCGCCTTGATTCAGGCCGTTTGTTTTGAATGTGAGAGTAGCTATATTGTTGGTTGATTTAACTGTAAATTGTGAACGGAAACCACATGGAAGTGACAATTTGTTTGGTGTATATTCAACATAATTCTCTAAATATGTTTGCTGTGGATCGAAACTAAGTTCAAGTGAATCGAGGCATGAACTATTCATCCTTGTATCAGCTTTTAAGTTATAATTTGTAAATATTAATGTGATACGATTAGTAAATGGAGCGATAATAGTCCAAGAGCAAACTCGTGGAGCGGGATGAGCTGCAGGGAATTGAGGTGACCTTATTGTACCAGGTTGAGAAGCATTCAATGAATTAGCATAACAATCAGAATCTATGAAAAGAAAAAGGGTTAAATTATCAATAGTAATTCATCAGAATTTTTCAAGTTCTTAGATCGATGGATGAATTTTTGATTCTTACTATCATAGTTGATCATTTCTTTCAATGATATTTTGAAACCTTGACCAGTATTTTCCAGGTTCGATCTAAATAAAAGATACATGACATTGGTTTTCGATTTGACGGTGACCGATGAATTCCTTGTACCACAAACTCTTCCGATAAAATCTCCCGTTGAATCCGATTCACGGAATTCTAAATAATCTCCTGTCGTACAATCATCGCTGACTTCTGATGGTAAATCTAATGATGTTATCGTTGCATAAATGCTGCTAGTTAACCGAGATGCGTGAAAATGATAAACACACATCATATTATTTTCATAGGACAACGGATAGTTTGGACTTTGGATAACGGCACCCGAACTACTTAGGAAATAAGATCCACCACAAATATGGATAGAAACAGTAGCCTGAAAAGAGGCAAAAATTAAATCACCTGAACCTTTGAAACGGATAAACATTAGATTCTCAGTTGTCAATAAAGCAGAAGCTCTTGGCCGTGGACAGTATCGACCTAATCGAGGAGAAAGTTCAGTTCCACCATCGTGAACATCAATAGAGGTTAAATTAGTGTTGCAAGAACTATAATCATGCACTGAACTGGCGGTCATCATGAAATCTAATCTGAGAACCCGATGATCTGGACCTTTAATCAGCCAATCACATTCAAGTGCATGAGCTGGAGGTAAAGGATAACCAGGAGATTCAATCATAACCGATGGATTATTTACTTCGTCGAGTTCAATAATACCTCCACACGCTGATGAAACTTCACGATACTCGATCGAAAAGTCCTAATTCGTAAATGAAAGAGAGAAAAACAATTAGTACAAAATCAACAAGTGACGAAATTAATTTTCCAATCTGACAGAAAGTTAATACTTACAGTCGATGTTGATTGCGGTGCATTGACAAAAATGTTCAAATGATTGGAAGACGATTCAATTTCCGATGGTAAATTAGTACCACAAAAGTGTCCAAGTAACGGAGAATTGGAGAAAGGACCATCTCGAACATCGAGATAACCTTTTGTACATGGATTTTGATTCGGACCCAAACTAAATGAGTTAAACTTGAGTGAAATGGTTCGACCTTCACGAACAATTATCCTCCATGAACATGATCCATACGATTGTAAGAGAGATGAATTAATGAAACCATGAGTATTATGAAATAATCCACCACAAATTGGAGCAACTGTTAAATTAAATCCAACTCTATTTACATGACTATCGGTAGAAAAGATAATCTTTGATAAATCTGATGTCAGATTAAAGTTAATCTTTGTCTTTCCACAAAGAGTCCGATTGATTTGCCAAACATTTTCCTCGAAATTATAATCATAAAAGGAAACTTTATCGTAATTACAATCATTGTCAATCGAACCCGCTGTTTCGAGATATAAGTCAACTATTTTCACTTCTAAATGAGTTCCCATTGGAGATGAAATTGTCCAGCTACAATTAAGATTGGCTATATAACCCTGAGGATAACCTGGTGATGTGATGCTCATATTTTGTCCCAATTGTGTATCATTGATGTAGGTACAAGGGATAGATGAAGATGGAGGTGAAAAATGTCACCAATAAAGACACTGGAAATGTTTTTAGGTTCAGCTTTCCATCTTAAATTAAATTGTGACGAGAGGAAGTTTGGTTTGAAAATAACATGGGCGACATTGGATGAAGTTGTGATTATCTGTTTAACTTGATAGCCACAAAATTTTCCCAGCAAAGGATAAGTTGAATCTGTACCATCGTAAATTGCCACGTACCAATTGAGACAATCGATATATGGTTTAGCAATTGAAATGTAGGTAAATTTAAATGAGACAACGAGATTGTCTTCAACTGTAATTGTCCATGATTGAGATTTATCGGTTGAATAATATTTTGGATAACCTGGTGATGCAATTACTCCCGAAGAACCGGTCAGGTCAACATTGACCGATGTTTCAAATGATGCCTGGAATCCTGGTGCAGATCCTTGACCATCACTTTGAAATTTAATCCATAATCCAGAATAAAGAGTTGAATTGTTTATCATTGGTATTGATTGTCCACAGAAACGGCCAACCAATGGACCAAATGAATTTGTCTCACGAATTTCCAAATAATCGAGAGCACAAAAATCATCCGATTCAAAGTTAAAATCGGTAAACGATAAGGTCACTCGATTACCTGGAGCCACTCGAATGGTCCAAATACAAGAGTAGAAAGTGGATAAGCACTTGGATAACCTGGTGAAGTAAAAAATCCAGAGAAACTGTTGAAATTTCCACCACATCGACTAATGTCCGTTGAATAAAATGCCGAGAAAATGACATTTCCCTCTTCTCGGACAAACAACGAATTCCCCTGAGTTATTATCGGCGGTGGATGAATCGAACTGGTGTAACGAGCAATCAAAGGTGAATCCATGGAATCACCTTCCCTGAACTCTAAACTTCCAGGTTGACTAATTGAAATACTATTAAACGACCAAAGTATTCGAGAACCGGTATCGTTATTTTTAATGATCCAATCACAATTTGGATTTTTGATTGAAATCGATGGATAATTAGGATTAGTTATCGTTTTTGTATAGCTATATGCATAACGTATTCCACCACAAATGGCCTGATAAAGGAACTTGAAACCTTTACCCGATTTATTACCATCAGCCTTGAAACGAACTCTAAGATATTCCGTTTTCGAGATAATTTGCTGAGTTGGAACTTGATTACCACACAATCTAGTGAAATCACTATCATCATTTGGAGTATTAAATTCTAGATAACTTTCAGAACAATTTACTGAAATAGGTATATCAATATCTTGGATCGTAACTTTGATCCGATGGTCAGTATTGGAGATTGTCCATAAACAATCATCGGAAATGGAATAATTATTCGGATAATTGGGTGAGATGATTGTTCCCTCTTCCAAATTCTGATAAGAACCACAATTACCAATTTTGGAATAGAATTCAAATGCAAATCCTTTACCAGAAATCGAGGAATCGGTTGAGAAAACGATGGTCATATAGTTACCATTAGATGAAACAGTTTTAGTAGTAGATGATTGACCACAAAGGGTCATCAATCGAGGTGAAGTTGTATCGAGACCAGAATAAACTTGAAGTGAATCAAATTGACAATTTTGTCCCGCTTCAACATAATAATCAATAACATTGAGAACAATTTGATTACCAGGTTTAGCTTTAATTGTCCACTGGCAGGAAAGTCCATTGGGATAAGGATTAGGATAATTAGGTGAGAATTGCTTGGTAACTGAACCATCTGGGTTGGTTGTAAATTCACCACCACATCCGTCCAATGCCCACTCCAAACGGAATCGAACAGGAATCGTTGAATTAATATTAACATAATTAATTCGTATATCATGATCCCTAATCAAAATACTACCAACAGTTGAATTGTTGTCACAATATTTACTTTGATTTCCTTTATTCAATGAAGTGATCAACAGGTAGGACGATGAACAAGGTGAGTCGAACTTCAATTCTTGAAAAGCTAAACTAATATTATTACCCTGAGGTACACTGATTTTCCAGGAACAATTTGAATTACCAGAATAAAGGTTAGGATAATTTGGTGTCTCAATTGCACCACGAGTTCCCCTAATTGTATTGGTACAATTGGTGGCATAATTTAATTTGAATCCTCTAAAAGCAACCGATGCATCAGTGACCATTTTAACGGTAACCGAATCGGATGTTGATCTAATTGGTTCAGTGATTAGTTGATCACCACAGGCTCGTAAAAGTCTTTTCGATTTATCATCTGGACCATCGAAAATGTCTAATCGATCATGAGTACATATTTGATGCGATTCGAAGGCCAAATCAACGATGTTCAAAATAAGTCGAGATCCTTTGGAAGTTTTAATTATCCAAGTACATTGAGCATTATGATTATATGGGAAAGGATAATTTGGTGATATGATAAGTCCACTAGCCGATTTTAGTACACCACCACAACCCGTTTCGGCAATGTCATATTTTAAACGGAATCCTGGTCCAGAGACACCGCTATCGGAGACAAACAGTATGACCATTGTATTTGAATGAGACACAACCGGACTTGGTAACTTGGATTTACAATATCGGCCAACCAGCGGAGCTGAAGTATCTTGACCATTGTAAATTTCAATATAATCAAAGACGCATGTATCATGTGATTCAAGGTCAATTTGCATGAACTGAACTCGAATCTGATTATTTTCAGGTCCAATTATTTTCCATAAACATCGACGTGAGGCTGGATAACGTCTCGGATAATTGGGACTGACAATCTCTCCATTTGGTGCTCTTAACGTTCCACCACAATGTTTAGATCCATCGATGAATGAATAAGAAGCGACAAATCCTTCAAATGAAATCGATGTATCGGATTTAAATTTTAAAATTAATTGTTCTTCACTTGATTGGATTACCGGTGGAATTGAATTACCACAAAATCTACCGATGTTATAACTTTTATCCATTATTTCAACATAGTCAAAGTTACACTTTCGACTTGGCTCCAAGTTGAACAAAGTGAATGTCAACTGGACGATGTATCCTTTAGGTGCACTTAGAATCCAGGTACACTCTTTAGCATGAGAATACTCTTCAGGGTGACTCGGTGATGTTATCACTCCATTTTTCTCACGAAGGACACCCCCACATGATGCATCAATCGTTGAATAATTTGCAATGAATCCAAGTTTAAGATTGGATAATACAAAATCCGATTTGAAATGGATAATCAGTTCATTCAAATTCGAGGTGATTTGATCTGGAATTTGAGAGCCACAGAATCGTTCCGTTTGATTACTAGAACTCACTCCAGGATCTGAGATTGTTACATAGTCTTGATAACAGTTTGGTGAATCTTCAAGGTCAAAGAATGAGAAACTCAACTGGATCACTTTCCCTTGGGGAACTTGAATATGATAAGTACAGTTTTTCATTGGAGGATAAGGGTAAGGATAGTTTGGTGTTTTTATCGTTCCCGTTTCACCGGTAAACTGACCACCACATAGAACTTCATATTTAGCCAAGAAACCCGTTCCTGCGAGTGATAGATCAGAGCGAAATCTGATGAATAGTTTATTCTTTCTCGATACAATTGGATTCGGTGGTCGAATTACTTCTGAACAGTAACGTCCAATCAATGGTGAATTTGGTTCATCTCCATCTCGAACTTCAATATAATCAAAAAAGCAATTTGGATGATGTTCCAAGTAAAATGAATCAAATCTCAGTTCAATTTTTTCATCGGAAGATTTTACTCTAATCACCCAATCACATTCTAAATTACTTTCATATCGATTCGGAAAACTTGGTGAACTTATTGAACCTTTATCGTTAGTTAATAGTCCACCACATCCAATGATCGCTGGAATAGTGGCATAGGTTATATGGAATCCAGCATCTTGTCGATTATTATCCGAATGGAAATGAATCAAAGCAAAAGGACCTGAAGTTGTCATCGGTGGTGGATTAGTTGTATTACAGAAATTTCCAAGAATTGGATCATTTTCCGATATTCCATCATAGACTCGAAGAAAGTCAAATTCACAGGTAGCATGATATTCCAGTGAAAGCAAAGCAAAGTGAAATGTTATCCGTTTACCTAATGGTGCACGAATGAACCAATAACAATCTCGACCCGGTGGATATGGATCAGGATATCTTGGTGATGTAATTGAACCAAAGTCAGTTTCATTAATTACACCTCCACATTCAGGTGTGATCGCTGTCCAATTTAAACTGAATCCATTGAATTCATTACTCGGATCAGATGTAAAAGTTATCAGGGTGTAGGGCTGTTCAGTTGTGATTGTATGGTTTTCCGGAATTTTGGATATATCACCACAGTATTTACCGATAATTGGAGCTGAATTGGTGAGACCATCATAGATTAGAATTGAATCTGCATGGCAATCAAATGAATTTTCAAGATCAAGCTCAGTGAAGGTTAAACGAATAACTTTTCCAATGGGTGAACGTATTTTCCAATTACAAGTTGTATCAGGAAGATATTTACCACCATTAGAGGGATAACTTAGGATTCCCGTTTCAGAATCAAAGTCACCGGTGCAGGCTAATCGTTGATCTTGACACCGATCACCTGTATATGCAGGTAAACACTGACATCTGACTCCTAAAATAGGATTATTGAGACAGAATCCACCATTTAGACATGGATTAGGATTACAAGGGTTTGTTGTTGAGATTTCACATCTTGAACCTGAAAAACCAGGTTGACATTGACACCTGAAACTTGGTGGATTTGAATTGACGGTAATACAAATACCGGATACACATGGACGCTGGTCACAGGTAATACTTGTACTTGCTAGACAACCGTTTGGCCCTTCACCATTACCCATGTAACCTGGTGGACATTGACATGATCGCCCTGGTCCAGCTGAGGCTGTAATCTCAACGCACTGAGCTATTGGTGAACAATCACCATTTCTCATTGAACAAATACCAGCAAATGTACAGGTAACACCATCACCTGAGAATCCTAGTGGACAAGGTCCACATTCCCTTGACCCTGGGACATTACGACATTCAACTCGAGGTGATATTGAACAACCACCATTATTCAATTGACATTCGTCAACATCTAAACAATAAAATCCTTGCTTCTTATAACCAACTGGACAAGGTCCACAGGTAAATCCACCAGGAAAATTGATACATTCAACCGGTGGATTAATTGAACAATGAGGCATTGAACTTGAACATTCATCGACATCAACTCGACAAGCGGGTGACACACCATCAGTTGTCCAACCTTTTCGAAGATGGATAAGAAAGTTATTATTAAATCAACACTTCCACTTTAGCACAATCAATTTCTCTTGTTAATTATCCATTAATTACTCACCTTGATCACAGAGACAAGTGTAATGTGGCTTACCGGCGACCGGCTTACCAACTGATAGACAAATACCATGACCACAAAGAGCCTCGTTTGAACTTGAGGAACAATCATCTGACCTTTGGGTACAATGGACGCCGTAAAAGCCGTTGATACAATTACATTGATATGTACCTGGAAGATTGATACAAGTGGCACCATTTTGACAGCCAAGGTCAGTGGATGCAAATTTTAAACACTCATTAACATCCGAATCACAATTAGCACCATCCCAACCTTCACGACATTCACATATGTAAGATTGAAATGCAGGTAAACACGTTCCTCCATTTCTACATGGATTAGTTGAGCAAAGATTTTCCTCTAATCTCTTTGGATTAACAAGATTAACAAATGAAAAAGATTAGATAATTATTATCGATACTTTTGTCTACCTTTAACTAACCTGTTTCAGTTGATTGAATTCATTTGTTAATCGGGTTAAATTGTTTACCGCTCTGCGAAAATCTCTTGGTAAATATTGTCGACGACCAGGATTGAACAATTCTCGAGTTTTACTCAGAACATCAGAATATTCATTTAGCTTATCAACAGAATCTTTCAATGAATTAATTCGCTGATCGATTGCCGATGATCCATCAATGGAACTTTGTCCAACATTCGATGAGGACGAAGGTGATCTAATCAATACATTCGATAGATTATCACCATTGATTAGAATCGAACCTAAATTGGATTTAAATGAGATGCTTTTTCGCGGTGGAGCTTCGAACACAATGTTACCATCTTCAACACGAATTCGAGCACTAGAAAGGCCAAGAAAATAACGAGAAGAAAACAATTTAAGTTAATTGTTGAATCAAAGAATTGGTCAAACTTACTGACTACTGTAAGGATCAAATGAACCAACTAGTTGAATGTGAAACAATCTAATAAGAAATAAAAGTTTGATGAAATTAGATGAAAACTTCATGATGATCAACTTAATTTAGTTGTGAGCAACAATATCGATGAAATTTAACTTAATTGTCATTGAATTTAGCATCTTGTACTAGATGATAGACTAAAGTGAAGTTGCTGGACTATTAGAAATGTTGATTGCACCAGAGAACCAATTTAAATTAATGTCACCAATTGGGCGTTTTAATTGTTACAAACCATAAGTAGAACTTGTAATTGATCATTTAAAACTGATTGTTTACAATTAGCTGTCAATTAACTGTTAATCAGTCTTTGGTCAGGAGTGATACCGATTTATACCATAAGAGAGTAGTGGGAGTAACAAGTTTAGTCCAATCAATTAGCAAAAACAAAGCAAATGATTAACTAATTACATTATTATTATAATAGATGATTAATTGTTTTTCTTTGTAAAAATTAGAGAGCAAATTTTGGAAACGGAAGCAAAAGTCGAATGAGAAAAAAAAACCTCAAATTCGCGGAAAACTGAACGTACGATGCAAACTGAATATCGATTGGAAACAAATTCGATAATAGTGATTAGTTGAGTTTCTTTTAAAACTTTCAAATAAATTGTTTCACTTTAATCATGATAATTGTGGTTTTCATAATGAGATAATTTTCTTGTGTGTGATTTATATTATTTCAAAAAAACAAACAAATCAATTAATTGATTCTTTCAATTTTTCATAAACATGATAATAGTCATAATATTAATTAATAATCAAAGATGATAATCAAGAAAAGATTAAAAAGAAAAGTGTAATTTTGGTTGAGAAAAGTGCACATTAACCAGATTCATTATTCGGGAGAGATTGATGATAATGATGATGAAGATGATGATGGTGATGGTGATGAGAATGAGGATGAACATGATCAGGATTCTAGGGTGTGGGTCAAGGTGAATACTTGGAAGTCCTCCTCGTACTTCCGTTTACAATTTACATTGTAATTGATTTACAATTGATTTTTAATTCGATGATTAAAAACTTCATTTTTAAAGTAGATACGTTGAGAAAGAGACTTATACGGAATGATGGAATGAGAGAGAAGCTTAATCGTTAACAATTAATCAAATGATCTAATTGTTGATCATAGTGATTGTTGTTCCCTAATAATAATATACAATATAATTAATAGATTTTCATTTTGATTGATTAACAATTAAGCTTCATCTAAAATTAAGAGGAGGGAAAATGAATCCCATTAGATTTTGGAAGAGAAATCGAATCATAAACAACAATCATCATCGAATCATAATTGATAACAGAGAAATTAGAATAGAATAGAATTAAATTAAAGAAATTAAGTTGATTAATAATTTAAATTAAGAACAACAATTAAGAAGGGATAAGACAAAAAAGATCTCATTTAGTTTTAGATTATTAAATCGAGGATTCGATTATCTTTTGAGTTGTTTGTTTTTCTGTAAATAATCAAGATTTAAAAAGGGAAGATTATGATTCGATTGTTTGATTGATTGGATTGTGATTAGTTGATTATGATCGGCGATTCCACCTTCGTCTAACAGGTACATTCCTCATTCCAGTCTCTCTAAAAAATTGGGCGATTTAAAATATTCGGGGACAGAATCATCGAGCCTCGAGATGATCTTGTAGATTGCTTTTTTCCATGATTGTTCAGTGTCTTTTCCAGCGGCGATCGATTTGAAAAACTCTTTCAGCGTTTGTTCAACCACGAAGCAGAATCTTTCTGGAACCTGAGAGAGTTAGAGATAAAAAAGAGAGCAAAAATAAACAATTAATCAATTAGAAATCTCAAGATAAATTGTAAATAAAAAACTCGAAAACAATTAACTAGAACAACCAAAATAAACAATCACTGAATCATTTGATTAGTTATCATTTTCGATGAGTAAATTCTGGGATATTCATCAATGCTTGACCAGTGTCAAGGAAAAGGTGATTATCATGAATATACAAATAAGATGAATTAGTTGTCATGAAGTAAAATAAGTCACAATCAGTTAAATGATTCCAATGATTCTGATGATAATGATGATGACAATTACTTTACGTGCTAAAGTTCTGGATAAATGATTTTCTCTCCTCTCCCTGAATAACTGAGTTTCCCCTGAAATGAATAACTATCTATGAATTTTTTGTTCGCAATCAGATAATGATAATGCTAATAAAACAAAACTAAATCTACTAACAAATACTTCATGAAAAATAATCAATACTAAAAGTGTATCTTTATTCATGGGGTCAACCTGATTTATTATGAAACTAATGGTTGGTTGACCATTAGCATAGAAAGTGGTCAATCTAAAGATAAGGTTTACTTCAAATTATGATGATCATCATCCTTGTGAATAGCAAAAAAAAACAAAGAAAAAAATGAAAAGATATTATATCAAAGTGAATGATGATGAGAACGACAAGATAAATATCATTACGATGAGAAACTTTGATATTGAACAATTAGTAAATTTCGTGAGGTGATTAATTCTGGTCGCCATTTTTAGCTTCTTTATTTCCTACTCTTGAAACATTTACTAAATTAACTGATTGTTATTCTGGTGGTTCTGGATTCTGATTACAGTTATTTTTTCTCGCCGTAGTTAGACTTTCTCGTTACAGTGAATTCGTAATGACCACAAACTCAGAAAGGTAACTAAATCGATTTTATCCTTAATTGTCACTCGATTCTGATTAATTTCGTCCAATGATTTACTTACGTCAAGATGATTACTACGATTGTAATGCATGTTAAGCACTCGAAGTAGTTCGGCTTCTCGGTGGATGTGAATATCGTCAGCGCTTTTAATTCCTTCGGCAATCGCTTGTCTTGCATATTTTTCCATTTGAATATAATAAAACTCTCTGAAAATTAAGCCCAAAGAAGAAAACAATTAGCAATTAACAATTAGAAATAAGAAACAATTATTAATCATCGTCAAGAATCAGCTTACTTTTCAATTTCTCTCTCTTATGTTTATCATGAAATCTTAATGAAAAACTAATAAGTGAATTTACCTAATGAATATTGATTCATATTATCAAAATGATCATTAAATGTATTGTTTATTATTATCATTTAAGTTGATCATCATCATTAGATGAAACTTTGTTATACAGCCAAAGACTTTGAGTTTGCAACCACTTTTTAAATCATTCACGCAGTTGAATATAATCAATGAGAGATAAAGTTAACCCAAAGATATGATGATAAGTTTGTCCACTAATTTAAGTGGTGTAGTCGCAAAATGGTCAACTAATTAGATATCAAAAGCTTTCTTTAATTGATTATCATTGACTGCGTGAATGATTTAAAAAGTGGTTGAAAACTCAAAGTCTTTGGTTGTATTGTCAACAATTAGATGATAATGTTAAAACAATAGGATTTGGTGATAATGGAAAACAATTGTTAACAATATCAAGAAGCAAATAGTAATTAATTGCTCCATTTTCAATATTTACCAAATCAATGAAGTTTTAATCAACAATCATCAATGATAAACACAAACACAATCAGTTAGATTATGAAATCTGGTTGAATTTGGGTTATGATAAGAAGTTGATTGTAAATAATAAGTGTGAACATCAATTGGTTTTCTCAATGAGTTTTTTTCTCATCTCATGGTTAATCATTAAGGTTTAATCATCATAAAGGTAAGAAGGGATAGAGAGAGAGACTGGAAGATGAAGAAGAAGATAAATGAGAGAGGAAGAGGATGACATTGAGAAGGAAATAAAATGATGATGATGTTCATTAAATTTTGTATTTTCTATGGTAAAAAAAGGTAAGTTAACTCATCCGAAAAGAAAGTGATATCTAATCATTTAGATTTATGAGACATTCTGTATAACAAAACATACGTTTCCATGATAGAAATGATAATAAAATATAAGATAATTTAATGTTAATAATAAATTAGTTTTGCAAATAGTTAATTTGTAAACTATTTATGAATTAATATCTCTCTCTTTTTTTTTGTTTTGTTTTCATAATCATTTAGGTTTTACTTCATTAACAGTAAATTATTGTTACATCCAGGTAAAAGGTAACCTTCAGGTAACCCTTGGTAATAATCATATCATTTGCTTATCAACAAATTGAAGGGTCAAAAAGTTGTAAGATGCTTTGAAATTTCATTCATTCAAATCTCATTGGTTTGAAAGCAAGGGCGGTGGTCATTTGGTTCTGTCCATTTACATTGACAAAAAAAAAAGGTTCTCGAGACCTTCGAGATTTGAACATTTAAACTTTTCGTGAAACTTTTGCCAAATGATTAAAGATTTCGCTTTTAGCAATTAACTCTAATGAGATCAAGCTACTGTGTTAAGAATAATTTTTGATTATCTTAAGTGATTCGGTGAGATGATGATCACTCTTCATCTAACTGTCTTGGGCGTAGGTCATTTCGAAATCATCGAAATATCTTACTTAGCATTGAACACGTAGGTTTAACAAGAAGATAAGAGGAGAGAGAGAGAGAGAGAGAGAGAGAGAGAGCTACTCAATTATGCAAATTAGCAATGATCCAATTAACTTAAAGGTTGAATATATTATCTAACTGTAAACATTGATTTGCATTTTCAAGATTCATTTCTATTCATCAACAATCATGTTCAATCTTAATTATCTTATAACATGATGTAAGATGAAAGTTCATTAATTTATGGTGAAAGATTCTTGAATGATAATAATGGTAATAATTCATTATGAGGTGATGTTATTAATGGAACATGATATTAATCATAAAAGAATAGGCAAAAAAAATTGGAAGATAAAAGGAAGAAGATGAATTGGATGAGGATGAAAATCATCATGTTGATGATGATGGTGATGATTTTTTTGGCCAGGAAGAAGTGAAAAAAATTCACTTATCTTAATATTGTCTCCATGAAAATATTATGACATTCAATGAATAGAGAAACTTTTTTTTCTCAACTCATTCATTTAAAGCCCAACCCAAATGATTTTATATCTTCCATGGTGATAATGTTAATGATAATTATGATGATGCTCATGATAATATCACAACTGAATACCTTTCAATAATAGTAATAAGTATCAATATTTGCAGGTTTTAATGCGTTTTTTTATGTTAGTGTTTGGGATGAAGATGAGGGATGAGGATGGAGAGAGGAACAAAAAATTAGATAAAGAATCAGATTTTCTTGTATGTTAGTAATAAATCATCAGATGAATAGATGAACATACAAAAAGATGAATACTCATTATGGATTTTACCGTTATCCTAAGAATAGAAAAAAAGTCTTAGAAGAAGATAAAAGAGAGAGAGAGAGAGAGATTGTTAATTGATGATGAGAAAAAAACTGATGAATTAAAAAGCGATCGGGTTAATGAAATAGTTTCGGGATGAGGCCTGAACTTAATAGATGAAGAGAGAGAGAGAGAGGGAAGGGTAAAGTCAAGAATCGGAGCCAAGTGATTAAGTTTAATGACGATGATGATCAAAGATTAGAGAGAGAGAGAGAGAGAGAGAGAGATTTTGAATCGTGGCTAACAATTTTCAAGGATTATCGATTGGATCTTAACTCATTAAACAAGAATCATAATTGATAATGGATTAGAGGATAAAAGGTTTTCATATACTCATCGACAGCCTAAAGGGTTTTATCATCTTCATCCTTTACTTTTCCATATTACTATCATTTTTTTTTGCCTCTTCCTCATCACTAATTTACAAAGACTATAAAAATATCGTAAGTAACAAGGCTCAGGGATTTTGATAATAATGCAAACTAATTATCATAGATTTATAATCATCATCTTCTTCTTGCTAGTAAATTTTTTTGTCTAATCATAACAAAGGTATCAAATATTAAACTGAATATAAATGATTGTTGTGTTTGAAAGTGTCATCGAAATTGATGATAATGTTGCACATTGAAAGTGTAACTAAGAAATAGAAAGTTTTTTGATGAAAATAAGGAAACGGAAATGATGATTACTTGTCATAAATCTATTGAAGAGATAATGATGATAATCGTTTATTATCAATGAGATTATATTCTGGACTTGTTCATCTTTTTTTTGACATGGAAAAGTTGATGAAGATGTTGATATGTAGTGAATAAGGTGTAAAGGTGAAGATGAAGATGGAAGATAAAGAGGAGAGAGAGAGATCATGACAATTGTCCACAGTTGACTGATCTTATGAGAGATGATGAAATGATATTATACCAAATTCTCAAGTAATTTCTGTGTATCATGATGTTATTATCATGAATAGTTGACTGAATATCTCTCATAGAATTACAAAGATATAAAACAAAAGGCAATAGAAAAAGTGAAAGATGACCAAAGATGATTATCCCAACTGACCAGAGATAAACTTGTAAGAATAATAATATTAATAAAAATAAAACAGTTCTAACATTTTCTCATAATCATCATAAGAAAATGACCACCAACTGTTGGTAAGAACAAAAAAAGAAACTTATCATCTAGATGATTAGTGGACATTAAATGTACTTTTTTCCATAAGGTCCATCATTAAATGTCCATCTTTCCTCTTGCTCCCTCTTCTCATCCTCATCTATTATTTAAGGTAATTTACTAATCCAATTGGAAAGTTGAATGACCAAGAGAAAGTGAATCAAATTTTAATATTGATCTTATAGAAGCAGATGGATGACAAGAAGATGGAGATAAAGATGATGATGAAAGAAAAGGTGTCAACTCATGTTCTCCATCATAAAAAGTGCCACGAGACTTTGAAGATGAAAGAAAAAGTGATGATAAGGATGATAAAGATGAAGATGGAGAGGGTGGCGGTTATCTTTTAAAACGGATGTTAAATGGCCACAAAGTGATTGTTGATATAATATCACTTTGTTTATTTAGAATCATTGTTCATTTAAAATAAAAGAATAGGATAAATTCATTTGTCCTCATCATCTTCATCTTCATCATCATTATCCACAAACATCACTCTATCAACACCCACAAACAACAAACCAGTAAACAACATCCGGAGGATAATATTGTCATTCTTATATTTATAATGAATGATAATTCTGATTCTGTCCTTTTTTTTCTTGTTATTGTTGTTCAAAAATCTTCAACAATGAAAATCTTGCTCATGAGAATACACATAATAGCGATCATGATGATAATGAGGATGATGGAAGAGGATAGACAAGGGAGGAGCATCTTCCTCATCCTTTTCTTTTTCTTTTCCATCATTCAGAGCATCTAAAAGTCCTCATTTTTTTAAAGTACACAAAAGGAAAGAGAGAGAGAGAGAGAGAAAGATTATTATGAAATTCTGAAGAAAAAGTATAAAAGGCTTAGCGATCTTTTCATGTTTTTCTATCTCAAAACTTCACCTCTTCCTGTTTTAGTCTTTTTTGTCTTCCTCTTCCATTCTTATCGTCATCATCATCATCATCATATTCTGCTTCTAGAATTGAGTTAAAAACTTGAAGAAATAACAATTGTCATGATATCAGGTAATGATGATGATGAGAGAGAGAAAGAAATTCTGATGAATAAAAAAAAGTAGATTAAAGGAAAAGTTTGATAATAATAATAAGCGATATTTATATGAATTATACTTTTGATTGTTATCATCTCATGCGTGACAATATCATCATGAAGTAACGAAGAAGATGAAAAGTTTTCCTGAGTTTGTTGGAAGTGAAACCAGATGAAAAAACATTGAGAGAGTAGAAAAGAATTTTTTTAAAGGTAAAAAGATAGAGAGAGAGAGAGAAAAATTATCATAAACAACAACAATGAAGTATAATGATGAAAATAAGGTGGAGATGTTGATGAGGAAGAGGAGGAGGATAAGGGAAAGAAGAATATCTTTTGGAGTCAGGGAGAGAAAAGATTGACGAAAATGATAATGATGATGATGACGAAGAGGAAGATGAGTTAGAAAGGAATAGAAAAGCTCAGTTGATACAATTTTCTTTATTATTATGATGAAAGATTCAATTGAAACGATACACATAAGAGTCATGCCTGAGATGTGAGTGTGAGAGAGAGACAAGGAGGTGGGAAGAAGAAAGTAAAAAGAGGAGTGGAAAATAAGGATTCATGATGAAAATTTTTTCTCCCTGAGCAGAGAAAAAGATGAGAGAGAGAGAGAGATAGAGAGAGACAGACAGAGAAAAGAGAGATAGACAGAGAGAGAATTTAATCTTTTGAAGCTTCTTTGAGCTTCTCTTTCTTTGTTTCTTTCTTTTTGAATACTTGCTTCTGATTCTGAACAAAGTTGAACATCTTTCATCATCCTCATCATTTCTTCATCCTTCTCCATCCAATCAGAAGCCTGGAAAAGAAAAAGAAAAAGATTCTTTTCCTATCTTTCATATTCGCCTCCTTAACATGGAGAAGGGAAAAAGATGAAGAAGAAGAAGAAAAAAACTAAGCTGCATCACTGATCATGAAAAGAAGATGAAGAAAAGATGAGTTTCCATGAACACACCCACTGAACAACAGAAAATAGGATAAGCATCTTTCGTTTCATCATCTCCTATAAAAAGAAAATTGTTTCTTTTTCGTCAAGTAAATTCTTTCATTTGTAATTTTATTCTGATAAATCGAAAAGAATAACTAATTAAGATAACAAATAACAGAATAAATTCAATTTTCAGAACAGATAAAACAAAGTATCGAAAAACATTCAACTGAAACCAAACAATTAATCCAATCATCTCAAAGATTATTAATCTCTCAGGTAATAGACAATAATTCACCAGAATTGCTCATGTTATTCACTGAGAAAAAAAAACAACGATAACTTCATGAAGAAGATGAAGAAATGATAAGTAACAATTGTGAATATCGATAGAAACAATTTATATCAATATCTTTTTCTTGATCTATTTTAATTGTTACCATGAAGAAAATGAATTAGTCTTAAATGAGGAAATAAAGTTACAATTAACTGATTACGATTACGATAGTAACCATAGTGATTAATGTAATCAAATAAAAAATTAAATTTCTTTTCAAATGAAACTATTATTTGTTCATTTGATTAACATGATCAAATTTTGTTTTTCTATTTGATGATTCTGATTGTTTCCAATTGAATTATTGGTGATAAACAATCACAATTTGATGTGATTATCAAATAACCGGAAGAGGAATTTTTTTCCTACAAAGGTTTCCTTGATTATCTTTGACAATTGTTTTCTCATTCATAAATGTTTACCTGTTAATCGGATAAGATTAAGGTAAGAATAAGTATTTTCTCAAACCTTTTTCGTGTCCAATTTGATTGGAAACAATCAAGGTAAACATTTTATCTAAATTGTATTAATATCAATTGAAACATTCGTATCTTAATTGTTTGAAACGAGTGAGAGAAAAATACAAAACTATTAATAATTTACTATGAAATTAAAAGTAATTTGAAACCAGAGAAATTGATTTTAACTAAATCAAGGTAATCACTCAGCTATTGCCCAGGTAATGGCTGAAATGTTGTAGGTGGAGAAGAGAGGAAAAAAATGAATAAATATCATCATGAAGATGAGAAAGTTCATTTCATGAAATATCATCATGAGAATGAAGATTAATCTTATTAAGGGGAAAAAGATATTAAATTTCAAGAGGAAAGATAAACAATCGTAATCAGTAACAGTTTAAGATGCAATTTGTAAATTGTTAATGATCAATTTTGATTGTCCTAATGATCTTGATAAATGATGATGATTGTAATGATATTTGATATGAGAAACAAAACAAAATAAAAAAAAAGTTTAAATTGTCTTGAGAATCAATTGTTGACAATAGTTTGTTGATTGTTTAAAACTTAAGAGGGAGAAAAGGAAACTTGCTGATTGTTAATGATAAAAATAACGGTTAATGGTGAGAGTTAATTGTAAGTATCATGTAATAATTACCTGAAATTAGAAAACCATTTAACTAATTGAGCTGTGTTGTTCTTGTTGAATTTAATGTCGGGGAAAAATGTTTTCAGAACATTGGAACTTGGATATCGAACATAGAAGAACATTAATTTAGCTTTTCGAAGATGCATCGGAGTCAAAGTTCTGGAAGAAAATTGAGAAAAGATTAATAATCATGGAAATGAATGAGATTCTCATGAGAGATATCAGGAAGATGGAGAGAGAGAGAGAGAGAGAGATTAGGATAAGGATGAGGTAAAAAAGATTCTTGTTCCGGTAAGAGATTAGATTACCATCTAAGGATTAACTAGTCAAACCTTAGCAGTTAATCTGCCTCAATGATGACTGATTATTTGCAAGGTTTTTCTCATTGATTGTGTTGAAAATGTTCAACACTTAATCATGTCTTGTGAATGGAGAAACAATTAACTGTAAATTCAATTGTAAAACTTTTCTTCCCATTCAATTGGGAGGAACAGGAAATAAGATTGAATCGGAAAAAGAAACACAAATTAAGAATCGTTTATAAAAAAAGAAACAGAATCAATAATAATAATAATCTTAAATTTCCTTCAGTAGTTATTTAATTTTCTTGTCAAATTTGACAAATAATTTAAGGATTGACTGATTAGATTGATTAATTTCCTATGAAATTGAATATTGAATCTTTCTCTCCCTCTTGTTTGCATCAATACATTTCAGTTCAATATGAATTGATTTGCATATCGATTGATGAAAAGTATGAGATTTAAACCTTCAAGTTGATGTTAATTGTTTACTATTTACCGATTGCATGTCAATCAGATTGCAAGTTAATATGAATTTGTTATTATTATTTTTTTGGAAAAACAATTTAGAAGTTGATGAAATTGGTAAATGGGTGAAAGAATTGAAACTAATTCTATTCTTGTAATTGAGTTTTGCTCGAAGGTATTAAAAGGGAGATTGATTTGATAATAATAATTACGTTTGGAGAGCAAGTGAATTGCCACAAAATGACATTAAAGGTGTTGATGTATCGTAACCGGTTGAATCGTTGAGCGATTCAGAGCCATCGGCACCATTTTCAGATCTTGTACCACCAAATTGACTTAGAGATTCAGGTGAAGCGGTGTCACCACCTCCAGCGGCTCTATTGGCTTGAGCTAGCATTGCAAGGTGATTGGCTGCTAATGCATTGTGAATTGCTGCTGCTGTTGCTGCTTGATGGTGATGATGTTGCTGAGCTGCTGCTGCAGCGGCTGCGGCAGCTACTGCAGCGGCTTGTTGTTGTTGCTGTTGTTGTTGTTGTTGTTGTTGGGCTTGTGCTGTTTGATGATGATGAAGGTGATGATGATGGTGCCTTTGACGAACCTCATCTTCTCGTTGTTGATGTAATTGCTTTGATTGCTGTTGTTCTTGATCTTCTTGTTCTTGTTGAGTTAATTGTAAAGGTGATTGCCTTAATTGTTGGGATTGTTGTGATTGTTGCGATGTAATTTGAGAATCATTTATTGAGGAATCATGGTGGGATAGGTTATCTTTTTCACGATCTTTACTTTCCGTTTCCATTTGGATTGGACCTTGTCCACTTGATGCTGCTGCTGCTGCAGCCGCTGCCTGACAGAAAATAGATTCACGAAGTAGCCTTGCATGGTCAGAGAAAGGGAAAGCTGGACCGCCGAAAAGTTCAGCTGAATGAAGGCCTGGATTAGAAATTGCCACTGAGGTTGGAAGTGAAACTGGTACCAAAGGAGGTGGAGGTGCAGTTGGTGGCCCAATATGAGGTGGACCATTAAAAGGAGATAGACCAAAATTAAGAGTCGGCGGTGAAGAGACTAGTTCACTTCGAGCAATTAAATTAGCTAAAAGTGGCTCTTGATTAAGAATCCGACTAACTGTTCTTGGTGTTATTCGGGAATCAGTTACCTTAAGTCTCTTCCTTTTAGGTGTTACCACCAATGATATTGCCTCAGTTTGCTCACCTCCGCTGTTTATTTCACTTGGTGACATATTGTTATTACCACGAGCATTTTCAGAATCCTCATCAGGTGAACCCTCCCTTGCACTTGAATTTAGATTATCATTTGCTGAGCCTAAAAAATTAATCGATCCCGTTGGAGTCACTATTGGTGTTGATTGATCTCTACCTGTATTTGTTGTTGAAGGTGTTAAGACACTTTCATTGAGCCCAACAATAGCATCAGATGAACGTTGTTGAGACGATGATTGTTGCTGTTGGTGTTGTTGATGTTGCTGTTGAAATACCGATGCAAATGAATTCAAATGCTGAGCTATGGAGGCGGCGTGTAACAAATTTGGTGGTGTTTGAGATGCTCCAGGTAAACTTGATGGAAAATTGGGAAATAAAAGATTCGATTTGAAACCCGGTGGGAAGGCAAATGGAGATGGTCCTGAAGGCTTTGGAACGGGTGCACTTTCAGTCGGTAAAGTGAAAGATGAAGGTGAACTTGAGCTTCCTCGATGATGATGATGAGAATGATGAGCAAGATGAGCATGTAAATGATGCCCATTCATTGAACTTTTACTATTATTTGAACCATTATTACCACTGGTTAATTGATTTACCGGTGTACTTGATTGACGATGATGAGAAGAGGAATGTTGTTGATTGTATTGAGAAGACAATTCTCTGGGCACATTGGTCTTATTATTGGAATGATTATGATGATTAGATTGAGATTGTTGTTGATGCGAAGATTCAAAAGATTTACCATGAGTTGTTCGTGGTGATTTTGATTCTAACATTTGAGATAAAAGAGTCAATTCCTTAGAGGTTTCGGGAGCCGATGAATCGGGATTACGTTGAACCATCAGGTCACCAGGTTCTTTATGAGGTAAAATTTGATATTGTTGCTGATGATTTAAAGAAGATGATGATGATCGGGAAACGGCCCCAGCGGCAGCGGCAGCAGCAGCTGAAGCTGCTCTTCGCTGACAGAAACGGTTAATTACACTATCGATAGTTGTACTGAAACTTGGTATTAGATTTGCTTGCATTTCGGTTTTGAGAGTTTCTCGTAACCATTCAATGTCCGAATAGTAAATCGGTGGACTTGTAGCCGTTGGTGGAAGTGATTCTGACATTAGACCGTTAACTGTGGTGCAAGTTGATTGAGGTAAAAGTGATCGTTTTCTAGATGATCGGCTTGATTGTCGATGAGAGTGATGATGAGAATGAGAATGATGATGATTATGAGAAGATGATGAATTTCCTTTGGTCATTTTTTCCTGTTCATAGACAAATTTACGAGCTTCATTCAATAACTGAGCGGGATCTTGAAGACCACTGAATCGACGATGATTTTGTGATGATTTACTCAAATTAACCTGAGATGAATCTCGATCATCATCATTTAATATCAATTCATCATCCGCCATACCATCAAGATCATCTTCATCTAAATCATCACCAGTTAAACGATTATGATGACGATGATGATGATCAGATTTTCGTGATGATTTACTTGATGATCGTACAGAATTAGCTAATGGTGATTTATAGTTGGATAAATCTTTCGGTGTATTAATTGACCGATTTACCGTTGATGAACTTGGTTCATATTTTGCCATAAGAGTTGATAGTTCATCGTGATTAACTGATGATGATGATCCTTTCATCATTATCATCGCATCATCTGCATCACTTTTATCACCAATTTCACATTTAATTGATAAATCATTAATTTCACTCATCTCATAATCGCCAATTATATTAGACGATAATCCAATCAATGAATCATTCAATTCATCCTCGTCTTCATCACCTTCATTATTACGAAGACCACTAATTAGCTCGTCGTCTTCATCTTCTTCATCATCATTAACAATTTCATCTAATAAATCATCTTCATCATCTTCCAATGAACCATTTGATTTACTTTGCTGTGGACGATACAATTTACGCTTTTTACAACCATTAACAATTGCCGAGGTTGATGATGATGATGAGGTTGATATTGTTGTTGATTGTTGGGCTTCCTTGATTGTTGTTGATTCTACAACTTGTTGATTATCATCACAAGTTAATTTATTCAATTGACCAGAGGTTGAATTACTTCTTGGTAGCATATTGGTCACAATATTTTCAACTCGAGCACGTTTAACATCACTAATTGTTGGTCCATTAGCACTAATTGTGGTGGTTGTGGTAGTTGATCCAATGGATGTTGTTGTAATCGTGGCTGATTGTGGATTAACAATTAAAGGAGAAGATAATTGTTCACAGTTATCAATAGTTTCACCAGTTAATTGTAAAGGTGAATCTGTTGATTCAATGTTATTGTTACAAGTTATTTCATTTGAAGTAGACAATAAATTGGAATCACTTTTATCAACATTCAATGATTTACTATCAGTTGATTTACTTATTACTCTTTTCAAATTATCATTATGATTAATTTCATTTGTTGATTCACAATTAAGATTCATAATTTCATTGTTGTTGTTGTTGTTGTTGTTGTACTCATCAGTATCTAAATTATATCTGTCGCCTTTATTGGAACCACGACCTGAGCTGAAATCACCACCATCCGGTTCACCTTCAGATTCAACCAAGCAGGACGATTCAATATAATCATCATTTTCATCATCATTCCTATCATCATCTGTAATATCATCATCTACAACTTTACCACCACCAGTAACAAGCTTATCTTCAATTGAATCATATTCATTGTTATTTTGTTCATTATTATTATTATCATTGTTACTGTTATCATCCTCATCCTTATCACCTCCCTCTTCACCATTGTTTGGTGGGGAACCTGTGATGGTCCTCCCAGAATCACTCTCTCCACCGTCATCATCATCATCATCATAATCATTATTATTATTATCATAATTATCATCATCTTTTTCTTCATCATCAGTATCATTTTTTGCTCCTTTTCTTGTTGTTGTCTCACAATTTGATCCAATTTTATCACAATTAACTTGATTGTTATTACTTTTAATACTATTATTTGATCCTCCTCGTTTACCCTTTTGTAAAATAACACGTAAAAGATGAGCACTGGAAGAAGATGAATTATTATTATTTCCACTTCCTATTTCCTCCTCCCTCTCTTCCTCCTCTTCTTGTTGGTGTTGTTGTTGTTGTTGTTGCTGAGATGAACCATCAAAATCAGAAGCCGAGGGTTGAACATAAGATGAAGTGGATTTTGTTGGTGTTGATGATGAAGACACTGAACATGTTGAATTATTGAATAGGTGAGATGTCAATGAATCAACATTATTATTATTACTATTATTGGTTAGAGGGATTGGTGATGTTAATGGTGATGGTGGGACGGAGTTTGTTGTTTTATTGAATGAGATTAATGATTGTGTTTGTTTACCATGTTCATCGGGATAATTGTTGGTTGAAATAAATTGTTGTTGTTGTGAGGGTTGAGATGATTGTCCATTATGGTACATGTTGTTAAGATTAATGATGCCACTGGCACTTGCACTGCCACCACCAACACCACGAACACCAAGTATAACGTTACTATTAGAAGAGGTAAGACTAGCGACAATATTATCAACATTTTGTTGTTTATTAAAGTTAATTTGATTCTCTTTGTATTGTGATGTCATTTTATCGTTACATTGAATACCGATACCAGAACCGCCCGAGTTTGTGGATGATTGAAGAAGATGAGAATGAGAGTTATGATGATGATGATGATGGTGAGAAGAAGAAGAAGAAGAAGATGATGATCGATTATTAGAGCAAAATGAACACGATGAACAGGTAGATTGTGATGAAAGGGCGTAACTTAAACCAGATGATTGTGATTTAGATAAACAGGATGATGAGGATGATGAAGGAGTTGATGGAGTTGATGAAGTTGAAGATGAAGTTGACTTAAAAACACCAGAGTTTCCACCTCGATGTAAACCAGAGCTCGTTGATTTACCTGGATGATGAAAAGCTGATGATCGAGTTGACGAGAAATTTGTTATCGATGCATATGAATTACGTGGTTCACCAGCATCAACACGTTGACGGGCACGTTTCACTTTACCTGTAACTGGATTTATATTATTAGCATTGTGATTAGAGCGATTGATTGAATTAGAACCAGTGGTTGATGATGATGAACTTGAGGAAGATTCATTTAGATGATTAAGATGATGATGGGAAACAGTTGATGCTTGACTAAAGGGATGAAGTGAATGAGCAAGATGATGAACCGATGGTGTTAACTGACTATGATATGGATGAAGATGCTGTGGATGATGATGAAGTCCAGCTGCAACTGCGGCTGCAGCGGCAGCACCAGCGGGTACTGAAGGAACCAGAAGGGATCCATAGGTCAGCCTTGGATCCATTGGTAAGAGACTATGTGATGACGAACCACGAGTTTAAATATAAAAGATCAAGTTCGAGTTTCGATGTCGAAAGAGAAACTGAAATGAAAAGTAAAAAGAAAAAGTAAAAATGAGAATGAGAATGAGAATGTTTATCAATTTTTCTCTCTCACTCTCTCTATTATGTTTCCCTTTCCCTTTTCGTTTTCGTTTTCTTCATCTTCTTCTCTTTCTTTGGTTCTCTCTCTTCCGTCATTCTTTCATCATCATATAGTCTTCTCTCTCTCTCTCTCTCTCTCTCTTTCTCTTTCTAAGTCTGTGTCTTTCTCTTTCTTTCTTTCGCTCACTTTACCTTTTTTCTTCTTACGAACACAAAAGATACAACAACTTTATTGATGCTTCAAATAAACTTCCGCCGGAGAAACTCCCAAGGAAATACCATTTAAGGTGAATATAAACCTTAGTGATACCTGATGAAAAGATGATAATGATGATGAGAGAGTAAGAAAGACAGACAGAGGAAAGAGAGAAGTGAGCAAAAGAGAGACAGAAGTAAAGGTGAATGTGGAAGAGAATCTTATCCGGCAATGTTTTGTTTCCTCTTCTTTTTTTCTTGTGCACCTCGTTTTCTACCTTACGTTTCCTCTTTCATCTCTCTCTCTCTCTCTCTCTCTCTCTCTCTCTCTCTCTCTCTCTCTCTCTTCATTCATACCCCTCCTCGTTCTTGTTATTATTTTTTCCTTCTTTTTCTAAGAGATTTTGGCCCTTTTACTTTAAGATTTAGAGGTTTCCCTTATAACAAGGGTTCGGAAAAGGAGGAAGACGAATAAATAAGAAAATGTTCTAAGATCGAAGTCAATTTCTTAAGTTTCGAAGTTAGAGAGAGAGAGAGAGAGAGAGAGAGAGAGAGAGAGAGAGAGAGAGAGAGAGAGAGAGAGAGAGAGGAAGATGAAAAGCTAAAGGTAAGATCGAAGACAAAGAAAGAGGAACAATGATGATGAAGGAAGACAGAAAAATAGACAAGGTGAAAAAGAGATTTTCCTAATACTTGATGAGGAAAAAATGAAGAAGATGATAAACCTACGACATGTGATTCTACATCTTCCTTATCTTCTTTATCATCTTTGATTTCCGGTAAATCACACTTTCAATCAACTCTTTTTTTCGACACTTTTAAACCTTTTTTTCTCCATTTTTTTTCTCTTCTCGTTTATCATCCTCATCCTCTAAAATTAATCTGTTCCATCCTCATCCTCATAATCATCACCAACCTTTAACTCTTTCATCAAATAACATATAAAAAAGTTCTCCCAACTCTCTCTCTCAATCTGTCTTCCTTTTTTCATCCTCATCCTCATCCTCATCTTCCCTATGGAGTTTACTACTGTTCTAGGAGGGAGTTTATATCTATTATCACATTGATAAGGTTTTACTTTAATTTCCTGAGCCAATTTGACTGTTAATTCACCAAATCAAATTAAATGAGAAATTGAATCTCAATTGATTAAAGTAAATAATCAACACACACAATTTGTGTCAAGTTGACAATTTAAGACTCTCGGTGATAATGATTAAGGAATCAAATTAAACTTTTCCAATAAGAAACCAAAATCTTTACTTTTAACTTTAGTTTAATCAACTGATTAATGGTGAATCCTTAATAGTTTAATCATCAACTGAGATTTAATATCTTATATATGTAAACATGAAACAATTTAAACTCCCTTTCTAATTGTAATCACAATAATCTAATACAATTTGTACAATTAATTCAATTTAAATACGATAACCTTTTACCTTGGGAGGTAAAAGGATTATTATTATCATCTAATAGTTTTGTATCCAATTGATTGGAAAATCATAATCAATTTTGTTCATATCATTTAATTGACAAACTAAATCAATCAGTCATCTTGATCATCATGAGAAAATTAAATAACAATTTGTTTATTATACTTAATCGTTTATACCAAACCAATTTAACTAAATCATTTGTTATTATACTTTTACAAATATAATAAATTTTATTTGGTCTTATTATTATTACAATTGGATTGGTCAAGATTCAACTGGACAACAATAACAAGAATCAATTGTATTATAATAAGTTAATTGTAAAGTATTACTACTAATTATTATTAGTTAAAGGAGAGAGTAACAAATTTGCATGTAGACAATTAGAAAACAAGAAAAACAAATTGTCTTTCTCAAAACAATCTACTAATAACAACAACAATCAACTTATATTTATGAGGTTGGAAAAAAAAAGATAATCAATTTTCGTGTATTTTGATAATTATGATGCACGAAGATTAATAAGTAACCTATACCAGATGATAAGCAAGAAGATGATGAGGAAGACAAGGACTAATTTAACTCTTAACTTGAATAAGTTATTGATATTAACCGGACTTTGTTATTCTCGGACATCACAGTTAATTGATGAGGTTTGGAGAGCAGAGAGAGAGAGGAGCCAAATGAAAGGAGGAGGAGGTCATCTCGAAATGTCCAAGCAAACTACTGTTACCTAAACCACCACAGAGAGAGAGAGAGAGAGAGAGAGAGAGAGAGAGAGACTATGTGAGGGAGAGCCTTTACCTGCGTCTCCTCCTCTTGCCTCTCTCATGTTTCCTCTTAACCCATCACATGGAGTCAAGTCCCTGAATCTAATCAATTTCATTATGGATCCTCCTCTTTTAATTTTGTTTATATTTATTATTAACTTGATGCTTCTGAAGCACACACACAAATTCATATAATAATAATGATCATGATGACCAGTAAATGATAAAATCATTTTAATATTCATGATAATAGCTCATAACTTTTTTTCTTTCCTCAACCATGAATCACAGGATAAGAATCATACCTTTTTTTTGTTGTATACTCTCTCACTCTTGGTCACTTTTTTTTCACCATCATCATCGTCATTGTTTTATCATCCATTCTCAGATGGATACACCTCAGTGCTTTCATTGGAAAGTCAGGATAAATCATTAAGATTATTACAATTACCATTGACAATCTATTCTAATAATACAGTTAATCTTCACCTTTTTTCATCTCCTCTTTTCCTCTTCTCTCTCTCTCTCTTTCTCTTTCTCTTCCGTTCATCATCTTTACAAAACTTTCACTTTCTTTAGGTTAACAGATCAATATGATAAAGGTCATTGCAAGGCCGAAATATAATATCGACAGATTATAACACGATGACCTTGTCAATTCTTTTGCCAAGAAAAGAAATGAACCAAAATTTTACCTTGGAAATTGCGACTTTTTCAACAAAAAAAGGAATGACCCATATGACCCTCAAGGATATCAACCTTTCTTCCGACAAATGGTGACAATAATAATGATGATGATGAGGATATAACCTTCAGATGCTATATGATAATCTTATAACCTTAAATGTCTTGACCTACTTAGTAAAATCTTCAATGATAAACCAACTGAGATTAATAATAATCCAAGGTAAATGTCATGCTCATCACCAAATATAATCATGATCCATGACATAAAATAGGATAAAAGTTAAAGAGAGAGAGAGGAATAAGAAACTTGGAATCGTCTCAGAATTTCATGATAATCAATATATAGGTTAAGAAAATATAATAATAAGTGAGCCATGAAATGAATATTAATCCGATACATGAATTGTGAGATTAATGATGAATAATGTGAAAAGATTTTGCTATTATTATGATAACCTCATGATGATCTGTTCCAATGTTTCCCAATATAAGATTCATGAGAAGAAGTTGATTCAGTCACGAAGAAAATCATTATGCTAATAATCAACAATTGAGATTGATTTTTATTATTATTCTCATTTTCCAGAATAATAATAATGATAATAGACAAAAGTTTAACTTAATATTTAAAAGGACAATTGAATAACAATAAGGAATCAATCAATATTATTATCATGACATGAGATGAATCAATGTTGATTGGAAAGCTTTGATAATAGTTAAGGAAACAAGAGCAACAACAATTCAAGTACAAATAATGAGATTTCATGAGAGATTCTGATTATTCAATAATAACAGTAATCAAATTAATCATAAATCACTTTCAAGTAATAATATCATTCATTTATCATGGAGTTTTTTTTCTATCACTTTCTCTGAATTCATCAGAATCAATTATTCATCTCAAGGTAACTTTTTCATTGAGAAATTTTCTCATAAAGATTAACTTAGATTCTCACTAATTATATAAAATTAAATTCAGTTTCAAGACTCACCTTTTAATTGTTGTGATGAGGGAAATTTAATCACATTGAAAATCACACTCGGAAACAATTAAACTAAATTGATCAGTTGAAACTAATTTTCATCTAATGATTTCAATTGTTTTATAATCAGTTGATTGATTGAATCTTAATTCATTCAAATTTGATTGTTATGATTTTCAGTCTATTGATCACTTTGATAATAATTAAACAATTAGGAAAACAATTATGATTTAATGTTGACAGTTAGAAACGTTAATATCATTTGATTTGGTAATAGTAATAAACTAAATCAGATTAAGGATTGAGTTTGAGTGAGATACTGATGATGATCAGAAAACTGAAAGAGTAACTAAATTAGAATGAGAAAAGGAGAGAGTATGTGAGAGAGATGATGTTTTCAGAGGCAAAAAAAGGGAGAGGGAAAGAGAGGGAGACAATTATTATCATCTCAATCATCATCATGAGGGTGTTAATTAGATTACATGTATAATTGAGACTCAATTTCATTCCAATGGTTTAAATGTTTAAGGTAAGAATGAAAATATTACTCTAAACAAGAGAAAGAGAAAGAGAGAGAGAGAGAGATGATGATAAACTCACTCTCTCTCTCTCTCAATCATCATGTCGGTAACTACTTATTGAGGCCTTTTTTATAATCACAATTTACTAATTATTATCATGATTCTAATTAGTTTTTAACTTTATCCACATTTCATTCACACTTTGAGTTGGTAAAAAAGATGAGAGAGAATAAAAATTTTACCGTTAATCAGCTGATTGATATTTTATTGATATTTCATTCAACCTAATCAATTGCTACCCAATTTAATTGAAACCAAAAAAAAATAAAACCTCCAAACTC